CAAATATGAGGCATGATGTGATAAAAATCTGCGACGGGTTGTTTTGTCTCTGGCTACTTGAATTGAATCGCCTCAGTTCGGTTTTCTTGCAGTCTAGGGAGTTTTATAGCATTCAGTTTCATAACATTTGGGCTGCTATGAAAGCAAACATCGTCTTTGTCAGCCCGAGCAGGCCTGTTCGATCTGGATTCAGGAGGTTCAGCGTGAGTTTTTACTCTCATGGGATTTCTAAAAATGAGCAATTGCCACTCTTGGATAGATTTGAGGGAAGACAGATCGTCAGCACTGGGCCGTGAAAGATTTCACTCAGGGTTTGGAATTATGTGGGCCGCCACTGTGATTAATATTGCATAACACAGTTCCTGTGCCGTCTCCGGTGAGAAAATGTTTCTTTCCTTTGGCTCTTGACGTGATGAGCGATGATCCCCAAATTATGAGGATCCAGCCGCCCCTCAGGCCATCATCCGCCGTAAAGCTCCATTCTGATTCGCTGCCTGCCACTAGCTGTCTGACTTTTGGGATGCAGTCAGGGCGATAGGGCAGTGTTGGGGGAGAGACACTCTGGGGAGGAGAGTGGAGGAAAGGTGGCAGAGGTGGTGAAATGAGTGTAGTGTCCTTCTTTGCTCTTCATGGGAAAAGAAAAAGAACTAGTCAAATACCTCTGCTTGGTCAATACCTTCTAGTGTCGGTTTTGGACTCAGCTGTCGTATAAACTTTAGAGACACACAATAAACCAATGTACCAAAATAGGTACACTTAGTTTTCTAGAAAGCGGTTGATAAGATAAAAGGTTTTTTATTTTCATCATTGGTATACAACAGAAATTTGTTTGGTGGCCATCAATAACAGACAATATACATATAAAAATACACAGAAGGAATATAAATTAGTGCTGGGCAACAATTAAAATTTTTATAGATTCATGCATTTAATCACATTTTAAAATGCAAAATTATTAACTAAAGAGTAGTGATTTACATTTTGTACATTAAACAAATAAGGTTCAGAATTGTCTTTACATGGTAATAGTTAAAATATTCTTATTCTCAAATTAATTATAAAAACAAAGCTATTTTCCACCTTCCGGGTTTGATGGGATCAAAGTTTGATGCTCTTTTTAACAAGACAAGGTACCCTCCACAATAATAACATAATCACACAAACAGGCATGTTAACATTCATAAATCTGTATCCTTTTTTTTCTTAACAGGTAAGAGCATTAACATGTTTCTTTGATCAGGGAGCAGAATGACAGTCTATCAATCAATCAATAAATAATCTATGTTCAGCAGCATGTGTCTCTATTGGAGTCGAGTGATCCAGCACTAAGGACATAGTCTGTGACGGATGTTTCCTTTGTAGAATCTCAGTAAAACAAACAAAAGAAACACATTTTCAGTGATGCAGGTTATTAATAACTTCTGTTCTGTCAACTCTGCCGTTGAAGAGATTTCAAATACAAACCTCTGCGTAAGTTCTTTTCTGCTGAGGTTCATTCTAAGCATTCTTAGGCCCGTCCCCCAATGCTCTCATTGGTTAAGACACGTGATGACGCCCCTCTTAAGCCAAAACTGCATCTTGTGACTAATTGTTTGTCGGTGAGTAACAAACTTCAAATTCAAATATATTATTTATAGTGTAATACTAATATTTAAAAATTTCAACACCCAATAAATAAATAAATAAATTTGCTATAAAAGTAGAGTAGAAAATTATAAAATGTCTCTGTAGAATTAGTAGAATATAACTTCTAGTAGAAAATGTTTTCACGGAGAGGTTGCTAGTTGAATTTATTGTCTAGCACAAATATATTTTTTGTATTTTGGATTAGTTGAATTAGAGTTTTGAAGGAAATTTGCAAACAAAACTGCAATAAAACTAACCGTCAATGAGGTACTCTACACACGGGGGGGGGGACAGCTCGGTAAATAACTCATTTTCAAAACCTACGGGCCGCAACTCAGCTGCAGTGAGCAGAGGGACTTGTCTTTGTCTGGGTGTAAATGTTTGGCTTTCAGAGCAGCTCCGCTCGACGCCAATGATTAATAAAGTCTACTCCGGCTATAAGAGGCATCCCAGTAATGTGTCGCCTCAACGTGAGTGATGAGCTCTGCCTCATTGGGCGTGCAGCGCCGTGAGGATTAACAGGAGCAAAAGAAAGTGCATTCATCCTGTCAATATTGTACCAGGTGCACTGATCGGAAGAAGAGCAAGCAAACGTTGATGCAGGCTTTCTGAGGCAAAACTCCTCCCTTGACTCGTCACTTGACTTTGACTTCTGCCCGAGGCAAAAGACAGAGATGCTAAAGAGGCCAATCAGCTGCCGGCTGCCCTGCCTGTCTACGTGCAGCCTCTAACAGCCCCACCGCTACATCGGAAGGAAAAACTAGTCCACTGCCTCAACCCAAATTTGCTTTGTTTACAAAGCTCAAGTCATCTGTATTTTGGAGATTTATTTTTTTCCGCTGGATTTGAATTATTCTGGACTGAAACCCCTCAATTAACGCCTGGTTTTCCAGCCCCGTCCTGAAGGAGGTTGTTTTCAGTCCTCCATAGGAAACGGTAGTTATGGTGTTGGCCCATTTCTATTTGACACTTGTAGTTAAGGGATAGCTTGATGCATCAGTCACTTAATATGTTGGCAGAGACCCAGAGACACCTTTCACAAGGTAACAGGAACGTTGAGCTGCACACGCAGATGTAGCCACCATCTGAGCTTGTGTCTCACCAAGTCTGGCTTCTTACCGGAAGCAAAGTGAGAATCCCAATGCACTAAAGCAGAGGTCCCCAAACACCGGTCCGTGGGCCATTCACAGAATTTTTGAGCTTGATTTTAGTTTTGAACTCATCAGGGACTCCAGAGCGCAGGTTGAGGCAGAGATTCAGGCTCTTCTCCCAGCCATAACACATTTGTCCGCTCTGATGCCTTCGTCAGTAGAACCGTGACATTCACTAAACCACCACCATTCCTCTTGGTATCTATCAAAAAAATGTGCACTTGTGATTTGGCGCCTCATCAAAATGCCCTTTTCCAAATTGCTTTTAATGGCTTCGCGTGGATCCGTCTGATGCCAGCCCACGTTGGAAAAATAAACGATGCCGGTTTACCCGAGATGGATGCCGCAAAGCCAGAGTGCCCACTAAACGAGTAGTTAATCATGGCCAGAAACCCTGCGGGACATTGATGCCCGGCCAGTCATCGACGCCTTCAATCATCATTCCGCCCATTCACGTCATTTCGGAGACTAAAAACAAACGGCGGTTTTGCGTCTAAAAGCTTTGTTGGAAGCCTCGACGGCAAAGTCCGCGCGCCCGCATACAGACGCCTGTCTCCAAGTGCAGAGATTTACCCATTATGAGTTCACTCCTTTTTTTGTCTTTATCGGCTCTTTAAGCAGCCTTCAAACACACACACACGCTGCCTGCTGAACAGATGCGACCGTCTTCAGCAAGTTTGATGTTAGCATACAAACTGACTGAGCCTAATTGAGGAGTCCCTTGATGAAAATGGCATTTATTGTGCAAATATTGCCGATTACACATTATCCATAAACCGCATGCATGTTTGGCAGGAGGTTTCACTTTGAAAACCTCCTGCATCCCACGTCGTCCCGGGGCTCGGTCTAATTAAGAGCGGCGTAATGAGCCCTAACAAAGCGCTGCTCGGCACATGGCTCTCCGAACATGCGTACTTCTGAAAGTCACCGTGGGATAATCAAACAAACCTAGCACCCGGGCGCACACACACATGTGTCAGCGTCTGGTTGTGTGGGAATGCAGAGGCCCACATGCGAGGAGGGAGGGGTGTCAGGCAGATGGAGGGAGATTGTGTCGGACTTCTTGTCCCACAGGGGCTCCCCATTCATCAGTAAAAAGTGTCATAGAGGGGACGAGCTGTTCTGCAGCAACGTGTCTGGGCGCCTTTGAATAAAGAACTCCATCTGCAGCGTAGCTTCTCCGAGGATGTGGTTGCATCGCGCCGTGTGCCAGTAGGTGCTGGAAGAAAGCACGTGAACCAGTGATCTTTCCTGTGAAATGGTCATAAAAAGGATGAAAAATATCAAATTATAGATGTATTGCAAAGTGTTCGTAGCGACTGTAATACTCAGTTGGCCTTATTTTCTGCTCTGTCTTCTCTGCGGCAGCATGTTGACACCATTGACTCTTCACCCATTGGTTTGTGTTGTTTTTTGGCCATCGATAAGCCGCTCAATGAAAACTCTCTTCCTGCCCTGTGATGTGATGCTCATTTTTCTTGTTGAGTGGGAGAAAATCAAGTCAAACGATTTGTCGTGATAGTAGAACAGTTTGGAGAGAGAACTTTCCAGCGAACGTCTTTCCATCAATGCTTGTGCTTGGATCGTGCTGCTAAGTCGCTAAGTGAGAGAGCATTTGATCCACAGAGAGAGCGAGCTGAGTCACTGCTCAATGAATCATCATTGCCCGCTGGTTGTCTGCCCTTTGTGTGGCCCTGGCACGCTGCGCCGACCGACAGCGCTCCGACCCTTGACCTTGTCATAAAAGAGCTCCTGTGGGGGGCCCTGGCGGCTGGCCGACATGCTAATGAAGCAACCCTCAGGCCGCCCTCGACGAATGCTCAAAATCCCCTCGGTGGAACTTTGTGAAACTGAAACCCGGCTGCAGAGGTCACATGTTGACTACGCTGGCAAAGCCGCGCTGACCCACACGACCTGTGTTTCTATCTAGATGTCTACATTGTTTTTCTGTGTGTGTATATGTATTTGTGTGCATGAGTGAGACATGAAAAAGCAGGCTGTGTGTAGGTGGCGACACACAGCAGTCAGTATGCCACGCTGCCGAGGCCCAGGGTGGAGCTCTGGGGGTCGGGCGACAGCCACACAATGGTGGGCTTTATGGGCGGGTGACGGTCACTGTCCTTTTCGAAGCCCCGAGACATTTGGGTTGGCGGAATGTAAAGTATCGCCGCATTCTCCTCGTGTCCGTCCCTTGAGCTGACTGTGTTCCATCTCCCTCCGCAGATCGAGAATGTGGACGCCTGCCTCAGTTTCCTGGACGCCAGAGGAGTGAATGTGCAAGGGCTCTCGGCAGAAGGTAAGACGGATATACGACGTGCCTGATTGAAGTTAACCAAATCAACAGCACACGAAGGACTCGCTGTTGTATCTCTAGCCCCGGATAAACCCGTTCTGCCCCAGCGCCGCCGACCATTTCTCCACAGGACCAAATATGTCGGTGAAAAAGCTGGTTGAAGCCCATTTCTCAACATTCTCAAGAGTGTATCAGAGTGGATTGTAGGAGGATAAAAAAAGCTCCCACGCAGGATTCTGTGATTCTTCAGTTGTGACAGTTTGATAGTTTTACACTTAATGTGGCATTTGCCTAGAATATGCTAAATCAATCCAAATCAATCAAATCAAATCCAATCAGTCCGGGGTTTTTTCACGGCATGCGAGGAGCTTCTGTGTGATGTTCAATGAAGCAACATCTGCCATATTTTAATACTATATGCTATACTCAAGATCAAATTAGTTTCTGTCCAGTGAAAAACGTGTATCTCTAAATGTCAACAAATAATGTTACTTGGTCAGCGCCCTTCGTCTCTGACACCTTTGATTCGGGGAGCAGGAGAGAGTCATCGTCTCGTCCCTATTGTGGCCAATGGATGGCCCCTAACCTCTCATAATTAGGGAGGTTAGCTGTTTTTGGAGTAACCCTACCGAGAAGTCATCCTTGTGAAACCAAGCTTTCGACAAGTACATTACGGCCGTAAGTGTGACTGTAAAAAAAGGAATTGTGATAATTATCCTCAGGAATTTCTGTTACCAGCATTAAAAACCAGGTGTAAATCTCCAAAACGCACATTTCCTGCAACTGACAATGGGTTAGAGTAAGAGGTCCTCCCAGCAGGTTATTAAAGCCTCTTTCCAGTGAAGGATCTCACCAGATGAGAACAGCTTCTCATTGGTTGTAGAACCAGAGGGCGACCTGCTCAACACTTAAGTTCCTCCTGCTTTTCCTCAGTGGGTCCATTTCCTTTTTTAAGTGGGTCTGATTTCATTAGGGCCATGCTGCTGGGGTCACCCAGGGAGCACACTGCACGTTTTTTGCATTTTTACCTTGCAAGCCAAGGGTATTGGAGGAAGCAAGGACACAACCAGCAAGGGCAATATGGTGTATATGTCTGGGGATTACACCCAAGAAAGGCTGAGTAAAGTAGGTAGGGACTAAAAATAAACTACAAACTATGTAGTCATGCTCACACAGCATTTTTCCTCTTCTTCCTACTACTGATCCGTCTTAGAGCCTTTCCTTCTCCTCCTTCAAAGTCCTCTGTGACTAATGAGATGACTCCAAATAATAAAAAAATGATATATAATAAATCCACTGCAAACACTTTCAATGGCCTCCACATTTTGAGCGAGTGCCAAGCAGAAACGCGTGTCCTCTACATCGCCCCGCTCCGCTCAGGGCAGGAAGAGTTCCCCAGCAATGTCCTTTCTTAGTCTCAGAAGAATGGCACCCACTCCTTATTTTCTGTCACACCTCGCCACAAGGTGACGCCTTGTGAAAGATCCACAATGCAGTTTGAGCCGATACACTGACGCTGCTCTGACCCGATGACGAGCAGAACTGAAATCCAGAAATCCATTCAGAATGTACATCCTGCTTTATAACGGCAGAGAATTCTGCCCCTGACCTTGCACGGCAGCTTCCCTTTTGCAGGAAGGAGCAGGCCGCTTTGTTCCTCGTTTTTTCGGTGCCAAAGTGCCAAAGCCCCCCCCCAACCCCCCCCCCACCCTGCTCCGGGGCAGCTGAATCGGCAAAAAGCTGCTGTTCGGACTCTCTTTCGCTCAGTATAAACGATTGCCTCTGGGCGTTGGAGAAGCAAGAAAATAATCAAAATCCCAGTGAGATTAATCGCCTCCGACTTTCCCCGCCTGCAGATGGCACACTGTAGCCGGGGAGAACGTCTGAGCCTCGCCAGACGGAGGGAAAAAAAGCCCTGCATCAGCCTTCGTTGTCACTGCGTGCGCCAGTTCCCACTGAGGGTTTTCATCCAAAAAACTCCATTTCACAAGTGGGTGCATTAGCCACAGCAATCAATCCTTCCGCCTCTGCGCCTGCTGGATGAGTTTTCACCCACCCCCCCCCCCCCCCCCCCCCCCCCCCCCCCCCCTCCGCTGCACCTGTGAAAAAACATGATCAGTTATTCATTTCGTGGCAAATGCCAAAATGTAATGGCCGTTGTATATTTTGGTGGGCTTGGCCCCAGAGTTGCCCTCACACCGGACGCCAGCCAGTTAAACACCAGTCCAGCAGTTCCCATACGAAAAGGAACCAGCTGCGTGGAAGCAGACACCTTAGACCGGAATCTATGACATCTTTTTCTCCTCATGAGCTGTGGCCTACACAGTGTTACCTTGTGCTGTACACTCTATGCTGTACCTCTGCATATTACATACTGTACATTGGTATCTCCTCCAGTCAAAGCTATTGTATAAGCTCTATCCCCAAGTGGCTTTTTTAAAATATATGTTTACTTTACAGTAAAGGGTTTGGAAAATATTGTTAGCGTCACTGGACACTGCTTTGGTTTCCAGACAGATGAAAAAGAAAGAGCTCATGCATTATTTCACTCTCAGAAATGGCTTCACACCAAGAAAATGTATTTGTTCCATGCAGGGTAAAGACCATGTACAGGTGGAACCAAAGGTGGGGGCTTCACTGCATAACACTGACGCTTCCCTCCCGCTCTCGTCCCCACAGAGATCAGGAATGGCAACCTGAAGAGCATCCTGGGCCTCTTCTTTATCCTGTCGCGCTACAAGCAGCAGCAGCAGCAGCAGCAGCAGTACTACCAGTCCCTGGTGGAGCTCAGCCAGCAGACCAGCAGCGGCGCCCCGACCGCCGGCGGCCCCAGGACGCAGGAGATGCAGTCCAGGTACACCCCACTCCATGCATTCCACTCCTCTGGTGTCTGATGTCCCGGGCCAGAATGTCGCAAGCTAATGACACTGGTTTGAATCAGTGGACCAATTCTTTTTAGAATGTTTTAGGATTCCTGCTGACAGACAGGTCGACTGATTTAGCTTTTTTCTATGCTTGAATAGGTCCAGTTAGGGGTTTTCCTAATTCGGGATATACGGACATGAGCGTCTCTCAGTGTGAAATGAATAACAGCCTTCATGGATACCGTTTCTCATTAGGGTTTCTACTGTTGTCAGCTCTATGCGCACGGTCAAAAAGAGGACTCCAGCTGACCAGCGGACCGATTACATTTAATAATATGTTGCTTTTTCACTCGTTGGTTGAGTTATCGATAGTTAGACGTCTGTGAGCTGGAAGAAGGGGACATACCCACTAGATCATCATATCATTTTTTTTATTTTGAAATTATGGAGAATTGGCACCAGCTGCTGCTTCTCTCTATAAAACCAACTCTTATTAGATTAATTGGATAATGGATGGAAATCAACATTCATTTTGCTTGGTCTTTCAGATTTTCTGTTAAAATATGCAAAACATTAAGACAAAAACCAGACTCTTGTCAATAGTTCTTCTATATCTATTTTTCAACTTCACAGGATTGCGATGCTAAATCGGTGTGTAGCACTATTTTAAGTGGAAGTTGAGTTTGGTACTGGAGTTACTTCATAATCTGAAGACGGACATCATGACCCTGTGAGACTTAAATAGACCGAATAGACCCCAGAAGAGCATTTAGAGGAAAGCCCGCCATGCCACACATGAGCCGCATTCCTCCGGGACCGATCCAGTTGCTTTTTGCCCGGCGGTGTGTGTGTGTGTGTGCGTGTGTCAGCAATAAGAGCACTTAGTCCCAGCTCTTGAGGGGGGCATGTGGGTAAGATGATATCGTCGATCTCTTTAGCCTCACGGGTTAGGAGGTGGTGGCGATGGGGTCCGTGTATTGTGTGTGGGTGTTGGGGGAGGCGGGTGGGGGGGCTGGGGGTTATTAGGGGCACAGCTGCCTCTCATTCCCACACACACACCCTCCCTCTGCTACAACAGGTGGAGAGTCTTCTCACATGCATACTGTATACACCAGACTGTGAGATTGGAGGCACAACCTCATCGGTCCAGCCTGGAAACAGACAATACACACACACACACACACACACGCACACACGCAGCATTAAAGGAATTACAGAAGTTCCCATTCATAAAACACCAGGTTGAGACGGAAGAAGTTGGTTGGGAGTTTCTTGAGCTTTTATTTAATGAAATGTTTGAGGACTCTACACCAATACAACTGGGAGAACATATACAGTATATTCATGAAGGAAAGAACTTATACTAAGATTGTCATGAAGTGGCTCACTTCTTTGTGTCACGGTGTGGTTTTATTTCCTTTCTTATTTTGTAGTTTTCTGCTTCTTGTCTCCCCGGGTAACTTCACTTCCTGCCTCGTCCTGTCATCGTCTGTGATTGTCTGATTGTTTCCACCTGTGTCCAATCACCTGCACCTCCCTAGTGTATTTAAGCCGTGTGTGTCTACTGTCACTTGTCGCGTCATTGTCAATCGTCCTGGATAGCGCTCGTTCCTGCCTGCAACAACTTGGGGAAGGTAATCAGAAGAATGGACTCAGGTGGTCCAACAGCACAATAAGCCGACGATGAGTGCATGCCATGGTTTAGTAGCACAGGGAAGGCCAACACTGTCCACACAACATCTACTTGTACTTTAATAAGTAGCAAGTTCCTGTATTAACTCCTGCACAAAGTGATTGGATATCTGATCTTCAGTTTACGTTTCAACTTCAAATCCTGTCAATGATTTGTAATGTTTCTTTTGTTCGAGGCCTCACACCAGGCTGGTGAACACCTCCCTTTCCTTTTCATCCATTTTTTAAATTAAGTATTGTCATTAAAAGATTAAGAAAAAATAAATGTTGTTGGGGTCCTGCGAGCCTCCTGGCCCGACCAAGGAGATTACGCATGTCTCAGTAACTTCAAAAACACTCAGATAAGCCAGCAGAATGGCTGTGTTCAAATTCAAAATGTTAAGCTTTTTAAATTATCAAATTATGTGCCTCAGAAAATGCGGAGACACGCACTCTCTCTCTCACACTCACACACACACACACACACACACACACACACATTTGGCCATCTACAGTCAGGATGTGGGGAAGCTTTCTATAGACACCACCTGCTGGTCTGACTGGTGTCTCTGGGGCAGGGATGTATGCAACTGTGTGTGTGTGTGTGTGTGTGTGTGTGTGTGTGTGTGTGTGTGTCTAAAGGGAACTCCCTATTGGACGGCTTGCGACAGACCGCAGTCACGGGAGGTTGTCGGTGCTGGGTGTACAGGGGCCCGGGGCCTAGCAGGGCGCAGTGAAACCCTCCCTCTTTATCTTGCCATGTTCCGGGGCGAACAAGTTGACCCCCTCATGCGGCGCTCCTCACGCCTGCCGACCGCCGTTTCCCGCGACAGGAAGAGCTGCTCGCCCTACGGCAGAGCCAACAGCCTGGCCAAGCCCGGCTCGTCTCCTAGGTACCGTCTCGCTTATCTGGGTGTGGGATTGCATCACGGCTACATCTTGGACCTTTCTGCGAGACACCCGGTGCTATGAGGAGGAGGGACTAGTGCATCATGAACTGCTTAATGGTTTGGTTCCACGTGTCCTGTTTTTATTCATTTGTGTGAAGCTTTTCTGGCATAGGCCTTCACATATGGATATTTCCTTGATCTTGGTTGTTACTGTCAGGGTGAATAAAGTCTTTTGTACTGCATGCTTGTGCATGTTTACATTCTCTTCATGTTTAGTTTGGTAAATTATCTGCCTGAGAAATAAGAGATATGTGTTTGCGTTTTAACACTTAATTTGAATCCTCTGAAAAATACAGAAATTCCCGATGTTAATGGAGCCTAGCAAGTAAATACTGCTGGTTTAGCACCCTTAGATGACCCAGGTCAGGTTACATGGTTTAGCATCTGATATACGTCAAACAGTCTCAGTCTTGCTTTAAAATGACAGGAAACAGTTCCACCTGTCGGACATAAGGCGCCAGGGGGCTTCATCAGAAGTACATGTTGGATGACCCAGAAGTCTTTCTTCTATAACCTGAGCCTAAAAGTCCCAGGAAAATAGTGATGACATTGGGGTTTTGCTGGACCTCTTAGACCACTTTACTCCAAAAAACGAATGCCATCTTTTTTTGTTGTTAGCTTTCTTTATCAGTCACATGATCGGTACAAGATGAATACAAGAGCTTTGGCTTGCCGTGGATTGTTCCGGTTTCACTCTTTAATATTGGTTAGTTGCAGCATGCTGTAAATAACCATAATCTAAATTTGACAACAGCTGCCTGCCCACACGTTAAGTGCTTCATGTGCTTCATGAAACATATCAAGCATCAGTTCACATTAGCTATTTGAGTTGACTGCGTCACATGCCCAAATGGATATATGACTTCATGTGTGAGTCTGTGCTAGATGTAGCTGTTTTTGGAGTGCCCATCAAGGAGTTCCCCACCCCCTCCTCCCTTGGACACCAAGGTTGGATGACACCCCATTACCTGCTGTCATCACGCCGGCCTGCAGTGGTTGAGCGCACGCCATTTTCATTTCTGACCCACCAGTTCGTGTCTGCCCTCGAGAGAGAGAGAGAGCGGCTACAATCAGGCTGAAACTGATAGTGCTCATATTTAATAGGACATTGAAGGCATATCGCTTGCATGTGTCCCGCAGCGTGGTGGAGATTTAAGCGGAGCCCCCGTTGATGTACGTCAAATGTGACAGACTGCATCCTCTCTATCTTTACCTCCACTCCTTCCCTTTTCCCTGGCCCTACATCCTGCCCCTTATGCGTGCTGGGGTTTTTTTCCACCTCGGAAAGATCTTACATCCCTGGGGGTTGGATGGGGGGGAGGTCAGGATGGGTCTTGTGGGGGGAATATGAACCGCACTGTCATATACAACTGTAGTCTATATGTGAGCTTCACTGACGTTACCAAAACCTAATTCGCTAACCCCTCTGAATACACTCAAGAAAGGGGACAGAAACGAGGCAAAACCACAAAGGCACAAAAACAGTTAACTGCGACCCCTTTTTCCAACATAATGCTGAAAAGGCTTTTTAGAGTTTGACAGGCTCCATTAATCACTGTCTAAACAGGTCCTGTCTGTGTGTTAATAGCCATTTAGGGTATTTAATAGAGCACAAAACATACCACTGGGAAATTAAATGTGCGGACTGTGGGGGGAGTTTGGAGAACGCGGCAGAAGAAGAACATATTTTGTCGACAGACACCATTAAGCAGCGTGTCATGTATCACATAGTTAATTATTTTTGGCAAAATGAGCTCTGCTCTATAATGGGAAGCTAACCTGAACCTGTTTCCCCTCTGTTCTCCTGTCTGCTCCGGAGCTCGTGAGCATAACGCCGCGTCATGAAAACCATGCAAGGTCGATTGGCAACGTACAGTGAGTCGGCGCTTTATCGCAGGTGTTTTAAAAGCGTCGTGTAGATATATTAGACGTGCGTAAAGTAGATGGTGTGTGCTTCTGCAGAGGAGGAGAGGAGTACCTAGGACTACGTAAAGGTGAATGTGTCTGCTGAACTTGTCTCTTTCATTCCCTTTGGGTCAGTGTCAGCTAAATGAGTGAAGTGCTATAATGTAGAAGTGTGTTGGCATTTCAGAGCACAGGAAATTAGTCGGGGCAGAGAATAAGATGACCGCAGTGCGTAACTCAGCCAACCCAGTACAGCTAGTTTACTTTACTTTCACTCTCCAACTCCAAACCAGCAACCCACAATCGCAGCACAGGACAAATTGTTCCTCGTTGACAGCGGAGACGGATGTCTGAACAGGCCGACGTTGGTAGCGTCCTCAGTCCACCAGCTGAAGCATACCGGTCTTTGGAGAGACACTTTTAGGATTTACAGTTGATTATCTTGTACGGTAAAAAGGACTTATTTGAGGACTCCACTTTTTGTCTCAAGTCAGTCATAACAGATTATTTTGTAATACTCAAGAGTCAATAAGAAATTGCTTGCAAAACTTGTGATGGGCGACGCTTTTGTGCACTTGAGTTATTTAATGGAGAATTATGCTAGCTGGCAAGTAGAGTCAGCTTATTATTTGTTTCTTTAATTTAAAACTGAAAAATTGGGGGGGGGGGCTAACCAACACGACTCGGCCCGGAGTGAGGAATTGGATGTGTGGCGGGAGTCCGTGACTAGAGCCCGAAATGCGTGACTGTCACGCTCAATGCGTGACACTTGAGAGCCCTGACAACCACAGTCTTTGTTAGCATCTGGTAGCATCTTTGTTAGCATCTGGTTTCCTGTAGTCATTGTTATCTTTGTTGTATGTTCAATGGTTCATACCATGGACTGCTTGCCACAACACTGCCTGCAACAACATATTTTAGTTCCATTTTCCATTCTGTTTTTGTGTGTATTTTTATAAATGTTAGCATTGTGCTAGCTGAGGTGCATTTAGCCCAAGTGTCCATAGAAAACCTGGACAGAACCTCTGGCAGAAACTCAAATTATGCTCTTTCTTGGAGTATGGGATTACCTAACTCAAGGTGAAGACATGAGCAATAGAGGGGCTTTGAATGGCGGCTTCGGTCACTCAGTCTATGACAACAATGGTTTGCGAGTTACACCGTTCACACATGAAGTTTCCTTCAGAGCATTTACACACTGGAATAAACAGCAGTCTCGCCACCTGGCCTTCCACTACATTGTTTACTGGTGTAGGCATGATGATTAAAGAACTCCACAAGTAGATTAACTACTTCCTGTCAAGCATGGAGGCAACTTAATTCCCCATCTCCACGAGTGACTAAGAGTGAGTGTTTGGCTATAAACTGTGACTGGTGCTGCCGGCATTTCCTTTTGCCTCATTCTCGTGCGTTGGGTTTATTCTTCAATTGACGCCGCCGCCAAATTCCCGATTGCGAAGTCTCTCGAGCTGTTTCATGTCAACGGTCCTATGAATATCTTGAGAGATGTTGTTGGCTTAGTCATTCGCATGTGGTAATAAACATATGTGAGCCATCATGTGCAATAAAATAGAAATGTTTTCTGACGTGCTGCAGTGCAGCATGTGGTATGCGCTTCTTCTTTCCTCCCTGTTAATCTCCTCTGCTTCCATCTGAATGACTCCTCTCACGCACATTATTAGATTAAGGCATGGATTATTAAGAAAATTCCGGGAAGACACTGTTCTCGGTCCTCCTCTCTCCGTTTTAACGGTCCTGCTGTCATCTGCTCTCTCTTCAGTCTCACAGCGCGATATGCAAGTCCTCCGGGCCACAGTGGAATAGGGTCACCACAGAAGAAAAACACAAGGTAAACATGGCAAACACTGCCTTACTGCCTTTATTTGATTACTTCTTTGTTTGTGTGTTTGAATTGCTTTTACCACAACCTCCATGCTTTCACAGATGTTTTATGTTTTGCTTAACATGTCCATGCTTTTGTGATATTGTATTACCACCTCAGGCAGGTCAAAGGTCAGGGTCAGCTACAGAGCAGCTGGTAGGGTTTCAGTGTTTTCGTCAAGGATACTGCAGCAGGGCGTAGACGAGCGCCACAGTTAAAAGGCGTGCTCCATCTACATTCTAACACTCCCTGTTACATTTTCATATGTGATCGGTAGAATTAAATGCAACAAGAGTATTCGGGAAGTAGATTGAACACATTCTCAAATGACATGACTCACATCAAAACTGACCAACTTTACAGAAGACAACCTTCACCTTCAGACGTCACATTCACGCCCACTTGATCTGAGGGAAAGGCAAGTAGTTTATTTGCACATCTGCGATCTGTGCTCTGTGCTCAGACTAGAACTTTTACGACTCGAGAAGTTCCGTTCTGTGTGGCGTGTCCTTTGCAAATGTGCCTTTTACACATCTTTGGGGAAGAAGATGGTGCCAAATAAGCCACCAGACATTATGAGGACACTCTTTGTGTTGCCAAGCTGCCGCTCGCAGTCAGGGAACCACAGGCTTCTCTTTACGGTGTCACGTGTGAGCTGGTAGACTTATCAAACACACACTCTGGGCCACTGACCTTCCTATCATCTCGTTAACATAAGCATAGTGCCCCCCCCCCTCGCATACGGTATGTACACACCCTGGAGCCCAGTTGTCTGATGCTCGCTGCATTTGTTCCAGCTCTGGGGGAAGTGGGAAATGACGTGTTGGCAAATAATTCCTCTCAAGTCGCCACTGAGCAATGGCAAAAATGCTGTAGCCAGCAGCTCCAGCCCTCCGAGTGGTAATCAGCCCTCTCACATCAATGACAACAAACCTCAATGCTGCTGCTCTGCACACTTATTTCTGCCCAAATGTGTACAGACACAACACAACGGTGATAATGTAACCATTGCCCCGTTGCCATCTGATCCTCATTCGTACAAGTGTGCTTACCAGTTAATTGACAAGTAATTGTGAATTCCTTCCATTGTTCTTAACACAGGCGGAACGCGTCCACTGATCGTCTATTTTACGCTTGGCTTTACAAGATAGACTTACTGGTGATTGTTGCGTGCCAACTTAGAGCTCCTCGTACATTTCTAAACTCAAATTGTGTTGCTGGTTGGGAGTCATCTCTCCAATGAGCCGCTGTGTGGGCCGGTTTTATGGTGTCAGCCATTCATTTTCATTCCTTTTTCTCTGTGACACTTCTTTGATCCAGAGTATTGGGACTATAGTCGCCAGTCAAACAAAGCCGAATAGTGTGAGACAAGGAGTGTGTCAAGTGTATTTTTAAAGAGAAAATATGTGCAACAGAAATAAATTCTTCTGTGAATATAGTGTCAGAATCAGAAAGGGGATGAATGATTGGGGATCGGGGACAGGGTCTGGGCCAACATCGGCGTCAGGGGGGTCGAGGCACGTTTGGAAGCTGTGCCACATTATGTAGCACAGCACATGCCAGCACGATTTTGCACACCTTTTCAGGAGTAGACAATAACCCCCCTCCAGTGCAGTCGAGGCAGCGGCATCTGCCCTTAAACATGCCGATGGTGCGCTGCACTACAGCGCGAATCCTTCCATGTGCCACATCTTCTAAGAGCGCAAGAACAGCCATTACGCGTCATTACGCATTGTGATGGCATCATGGCATTTTATTACCTTCCATTTGGTTGCATGACAAGCAACAGCTGTGCTTTGAGGATGAATTGCATAACATGCCAATATTATTGCAGAACATATTTCACTTTTCTTTTTGAAAATGTGTTAATTTGTATTTCTGTTTGTTTTACGCTGCAGATCGATCAAACGGGTGTTCGTGTTATTTTCAGAGAGGCAGTATTAGCATTTCACTTACACAACAGTCTGGTTTTACACACTTTCACACACGTTTGCGTGTTTCTTGCATTTGCCGACGGTTCTCATTTCACCCGTTTTTGTGCGTACGCATGGGTCCGAGCTTGCGTGAAGGACCGCACATTTTTCTGTCAAGTTTGCTTTTTATAAATACCAATTATTGCGTAGAGAGCGGCGTACGCTTTCTTTTGTGCGTACGCAACGTTTATAAATGAGGCCCCAGGTCACCACACCTGTAGGCAGACGCATCCACACCAGAGAGAATTCCAAACTCATTAAATACAGAATTTAGTCAAAATCCAAGGCCTCCTGGATAATTGGAAAATATGTGTATAAATCAGCAATATTGTGATCACCAGCTGTAACACCAAATTAAACCACGGGCCGGAAGTGAGGAGACCAATGGCACCTCTCCCGCCTCCTACCCTGTCCCCCAGCCCCCACTTCTAGCTCAAATAACACACGTCTACAAAATCGGCTACAACCTACAGGAATGGTCCTTTACCGTCATTGCTCCAATGTTGGACAGTGTGTTGGCCACCTGCTAGCTAGTGCAATCTTTCTTTTACTTTTCTTCCATTCAAATGAGCCTGAGGTGACCCTGTGTAAATCCTTGTGACCTGAAGGTAGTCTGTACTCCAGACGCGCTGCACCACATCGCCTGCTCTCAGGAGGAGAATCAGTGACAAAAGTCTTGGCCAGAGAAAAGTCATGTTAAGCGCTGTGACTGACAGGCCGGTTCATGCATGTGTCTGTTCTGTGTCCAGTGCAGTCCCAAAACACAATCATTGTTACATGTCTTTCTTCTTGGGCTCCAGTTTTCTGAAGCATTATCAAACATGTAGTTTGGAAGATGAAAGCATATTATGATAAAAGGCTATTCCATCTGATATCCATCCAAATTGCTTCAATCTCACCCTCATTTCCCGATGCTTAGCTCTTATCATCTCCTGCAGCTACTGTATTCTTCTCTCATTCTCTCCCTATCTGCATCCATTCCCGCTCCTTTGTTCTCTGTCGTGTCTTCTTAGTGTGTTTTTTCTTCATCTCTTTCTCACTCTGTTCTGTCCCTTTCCTTGTTGATTGTATGTGACAAAGCTAAAGGGCTTATAGCCACTGTTGTGTGTGCACGTGCGTGTACAGTACGTGTGTGTGTGTGCTCATTCGTCGTTGTCGGGTATTTATCTTGAACATCCAAATGTGAAATTTCTATTCCCACCCGGTCCTGTCTATGCTCTCTTTCTCTTCCTTTTTCTCTCTTTTTTGTGGGGCTGCTGCAGTACCAGTCCATCGGTACGACCACCTCTGCTCTCCCACCTGGATCAGCATCTCTGAACAGAATAGTCTGCTAGTGTTGTCGCAGTCTTTCAGGATATTCAGAGAAAGTGTATCTCTGCACATTTGCTCTTTTCATTTTTTTTCAATGCACAACCGTCTGTATAAAGCAGCGTATTCATTGTTCAGCACATGGACTTATAAGGCAGTTTTTCCTCCGAGTACATGTCGTGCTGCTTTCCTAAATGCTGAGCCGGGCTCTTTCTTTCATTTCTTTTCAAGAGAGACACCTAAAGTAAACTACAATCTTTTTCTTATTGCAATAGAAAATACGCCCGTAATTAACATCAGCGTGGTAATAAATGCTTTTAGGCCAGCGGTGTGCAGTACATGATATACGTATCCATTATTAGAAGGGCGAACAGAATCTTCCCCAAAAACATGCTTTATTAAGAAAAAAAGTATATGTCAACTGAGATGTGGATTATGCTCCATCCTACAAGCACCTCTCAGAGTTCGGACCAGTTCCAATCATTTATTTGGACAAAAACAGAACCCCAGCCTTTTTAATTAAGCTGTGTTACTAACGTATGTCTAAAAGTGTTTAAAGGATATTAGGAGTTGCCACACTATTGACTTGGTCACTCTGTAGCAGTTTTTGGTTGCAGAAGCAGAAACGTCCAGATGAATGTAATCATAGCTCCTTCCATCTGCCAGAGGGATAAATCACAAGCTCAGGCAGTGTTGGGAGATGCTTCTCACTAGATTTAAATCAGTGCTCCATGTCAATTTCTTTCTTGTTTTAGTTTTATTAAGAGCTTTAAAAGCTAAATGAAACATATGAAATACGTTGGTGTTTTTTTTTTGTTTTGACCACTTTTAAAAAAAGAATTTCCCCTCCGATATCTTGGTTCCATCTGCCATCTAGACGCGAGTGACATATTCAGCAGGGACCCTCGATTTTCTTCGATTTCTTCTTCTTTTTCACTTTTAACACTGTTAAAGAACATCACGACAGCCTTCATGCAGGGAGGCAGGAAGAAACCAACTCGGTTTTCTGTTGTTTGCTATTTCTTTATAAAGACCAGGCAATGAATGGAAACACCCACGGCCTCTCTGATGCAGGCGAGGTCGTTTCTCAATGCTTTTCAGAACCACCATCCTTCACTCCCACCCTGTCAGCTGGGAGACTTTAAGACTGGGCTCGTCTTTCTTTCTCTTGTCAAATATATTTTGATTGAAGTGAACTTGGCATAGTCTACTCCCCAACGTGCAATGAACTTGCTATGATCCGTGTGCCAGATGCCAGATCTGTTGTTGGAAAAACTGACCAACAAATGACTAGAAGCAACTGGCGTTAATGCATGTAAAGTTATAGTGCTACAAAAACAGTTTTTTTGCAGTAGTTTTTGATGACATCATTCAATATCACCCTACAGCTGGTGCACGGAAAATCAACATTTAGTAGCAAACTTTGACGGGACAGAAACATTGTGATGAAGTGTGTGTGTGTGTGTGTGTGTGTGTGTGTGTGTGTGTTGTAAGAGAGAAGAAATGTCCCTTCATTTATTCCAAACCTGGTCGGAGGCAAAGCTTCTCTGAAGGTCCAAATTGGTCTTACCCCATGACAATGAGTGATGTTGTCATGTAGAGTCTGCTTCACACTCCGAATATGTCACCTTAACATCCGACCCCTCTGTCGCAGGTTGCCAGGCCCCTCCAGAGCACCTGCTGCAGGCGGCGGGTCCTCCAGGAGCCCGGGCTCGTCCAACCTCAACCGTCGCAGCCAGAGCTTCAACAGCATCGACAAGAGCAAGCCCCTCCAGTATGCCAGCGGCAACGACAGAGGTGAGAGCGCCGCGTGGCTGATGGCGTTAGAAAGCTGCTGCTTGGCAGGAGCAGAAGGTAGTGCGGAGCGCCCACGGCCACATTCTCCCTCCCCGCCACTTGGTGGCACCGCCGGCTCAGGCAGACGAGGCCCTCATTTCACCAGTCCCCACCCGTCTGCTGAATCATCTACGGCTCTTTGCACCACTAAGTGGAGGTCCTCCCACCACAGAAAAAGTCATTTTAGGGACGACAGGGGCAAATGCAGGCAGCTGCTCTGCCGAGCGCGGCAAAGCTAATTAGAGTGATTATGTTCTCAAGAGAACGGTCTCACAGTGGAGTGTGCAGCAGTTTATTTCACACCAAAGTGAATATTTCCTTTACAGACTCAATCTAAATGTAGCTTACTGTTTAACAGTTTTAAGATTGAATTTTGGGATCATCAAAAGATTTATCATGACTCATCGGCTGACTGAGTGATAAAGATTCAAATCAAGCCCAGCGCTCGCAGTCATTTACTGATGAAAACCATTAATGATGAGGTCTAGGTCGTTGTGATGCCAAACCTTTTGGTTTGGCTTAGAATGTATGTAATCGTGAAGTGTTTTCCAACGGGTGGCATCACTCTATAGAGTCAACAGAGGATGAGCAGGAGAAGGTAATGGAGGTGGAGGAGAGGTTTCCTTTCTCACCTGTCATCAGTCTGGGATCAAGCGGGATGTGCACTCACCCCAACGCCTTCTGAGTGTCACTTCATAGGGAGGGCATGGTGAGAGGTGATGGAAGGGTCATTGTTTGGAGCTGAAAAGAGAGCAGCAAGGGATGCTTTCATTTCAAAATATTTTTTTTCCTTTAGGTTCATCTTTCAGGAAACAGTCACAAACGATTCGGTCCATCGGTCTCTTTTTACTTTTTGACGAGGTGGATGCATCCTTAGTGGGACCATTCACACATGGTATGAGTCCTGCAGTGAAGCTCAAACCAGATCCTTTCATTTGTTTTAAAGTAACGGATGAAAAGCAAAGAAGAAAAATCAATTGTGAGGAAATGTCAGTGATGCAGCCACAGCCTTTTGGGAAGAAGCAGGAGAGAAAGAACAGAAGACAGGAAGGGTTTTCTGGAGGATTTTTCTCTTCCGGATCATGTTTCACATTCCCTTTAGTTTTACATCCTTTGATTTTTTTTTCTTTTCTTTCACTCAGGGCTTTACAAGCCATTGTTTTTTTGTAATATATACAAATACATATTCATATATGATCAGATAACAGTTCTGATAACAGAAATTGTTCTCTTTTGTTCAATGCCATGTGTGCACCACCCACCATAACAAATTCCTCATATGTCCAACACACTCGGCAAATAAATGTTTCTGATTGCTAACGTCAATAAGGATGCAGCCCTTTTCATCCATCTGCATCCCATTTGTTTGGGCATGATGATCTGATAGTCAGCCATCCTCTCAATACATACAAAATAGTCAGCAGAGCTTTTCAGATTTTTGTCAATAGACAGTCCAGATTCTCATTACAATTTTATGGTGACAATATTATGCTGTTGGTCCACATGCAATTACAAGATGTATTGTCGTTGTGCCTCTTGTCTAATTTCTACTCAGCTTATTCATTTCCACATGGATGTTATGCTCATCTTATCAGCTGTTTTCTCAACTTTCCCTTTTTTGTGTTCAAATAATTATAACATTTTTGTAGTCAATTCACTAACAAAGATGATCACACTGTGATGTTAAATTATGTAGTTTGGCAGTTGCACATCTAGGTATTAGGATTTCGAATGGCTATAGACACAGATGTGGATAGTAGCTTTGTGTCACAGGCCTAACTGTGACCCAGAAAAGAGGCTACGGGTCCGAGTCATAATTACCATCACTTGTTTTATATCTACGGCCTCATGTAGAATGAAGTGATTCAGTGTTTCACTGCACACAGAACCTCCTTCTGACCAAACAAGAGCTCAAAGGGCACGAAGGGAGTTACCCGTGTCGCCGTGCAACTATTTAATTAGCTTCAGCCGACTAAATTAAACCACAGAACGGCCTGTAATATTGGACCAAAGAAGCCAAAGAATGAAGCTGCTGAAGTCCTCTGGAGACAGCGCCTTATTGATCTGACTGTGGGGTTAGGGGAACAGCTGTAGCGGTCAACTCAAAGAGTACTAAAAAAAGAAGCAGAGGTATGGAAGAGGGCTCATGTCATCGCTGCATAGCCGACATTTGAACCAATCGTCCGTGAATCTGTGTTAGTTAGTGTGTGAATGAGTCATTCCAAACAAGGGTTGTATCACTGGAATCCAGGCATCGCATAGAGGAGACCGGACCAGGAGGAATGACATTTCATTCTTCGCCCCCTCCCCCCCCGAAAAAACAAGACAAGAGGAATCTGTTGCCATGGCAACGACCAGTCATTGCGCGGGTCTCGAAAAATGAGACGAGACGGGCGCGGGTGGTGGGGGGGGGGGGGGTGTATTTCTAAGACGAGGTTAATTGACTGGACACACGAACACTCACACAGACACAGAATCACGCAAATGCTTGTAACCACCTTTTCAGTTAACATTTAAAACTGCCTTGAGGGCTACTGCACTCATCTCTAAAGATGAAGGGTAACAGAGAGGACACAGACAAACACACACATGGATGCTGTCTCATCTGTGTTTATGAGTGACTAGACAAACACGCGCGCACACACACACACACACACACAGAAAGAGACACTCAATGAGGGTGTGTTTTCTATATGCCATCTGATTTTATGAATTCATCTATTGCATTAGCACACTTGGTTAGGATTCTTTGGCGTCATTTAGGTTTAGAATTTAACGGAATTTATGTAGATAAGTAAAGTACATTGCGCTAGTTAACTTAAGTAAGTAAGAGGTGCGCAACTAAGCTATTTGACAACTCGGGCTGTGATACTGTGATTGTAACCCAATCATGCCTCCTCTGGTCTGAGATCAGATCCTTGTGCATTCTGACTCCTCCTACCTTTCTAAGAAGGAGAGTGTCTTCTAGAACATTGCTCTTTAAGATCTGTCTTACAGCCAAAAAGAAGTGCTATTGCTGTACGACACAGTGCACTGGGGCGTTTTCGAGTCTTCAGACATGTAAGCTGGGTAAAGTCTCTCAGCCACAGCTGAAACGGAACGCCCTCCCCTCTGCCTGCCCGAAGGGGCTTTAAACTGCAGACTGGAGGAGCCTCACAGCCACCTAAACCCGGCTCACAGTGCTGACTGACAGCCAGACAGACACTCACTCTGTCTAATGGCGCACAACCTCATGCTGTCACTGTCGCCTTCCGGTCTTCATTCCCTTCACATCCCTAATTCTCTGTCCCCGTATGCATTGTCTTTCCCTGGAAAGTGGCCTCAAACTGCATATCTGTACGCGCCTGCCTGCCTGTCTTCTGTTGTAACCGTCTCTCTTAAATACTATATTTATCTGTCTGGTGCTGCTGGATGCTCTCGGCATAAAGGAAAGGGAGAGAGTGCTGATGGTCAGTCTGTCAACCAGACAGGTAAAGTTGTGTGTGTGCGCCTTTATAAAGGTCATCCCTCAGCGCTGGAACCTAAAGCGTGTATTTTACACCCATGACAGATGTTTGGGTGATCTGTACTTGTGTTTCTGTGTGTGATTTTGCTCAGCGAGTCATATTTTCTTGTAACATTAAAATGTTAATCTGGTAGCTGTAAACACCTTTGTAATGCATCATAGCTCGTGGCCTGTAATTAAAAAGATAGTTGTCTCTATTATTTATAAAAAAATATGACATAGAGACAACATGGGCTACATGATTAGTAATTGACTTTTGGCATTAATTACAGGATTATTTGTGAACCTAATTTATCACCTCATACACATAATCTTTTGTTAATATTTATTTTCACTACCATTAATTCATTTATTAGAACATAATAGAGCTGAAAGCAAAACAACTTGTGCTCCGTTTGAATTCAGCATTTCTCTTTACAACGTTTCCCATGCCGTTACTCTCCAAATGTAACACAAAACCCACTGTGATGTCCCTCACACGTGTTCCTATATGTGTAGATGAATAATAACCCGTTATATCAGCAGCATTTTATGCATTTTGTTTGTGGATTCTCTGAAGGAGCGAGGACTCTCGATCTTCTGCCAGGGTTGAACAACCTTGCAGGGATAAATCCCTGGATCAGAAGGAAGCGTCAGCTGCTCTACACCCACTGCTTTCTCAATATATAGACATTTTGGAGTTGAGATTTAAGTTCCCACATTTTTCTGATATCTTTATAGTTCTAAAACCCATAGTTCTAGGAAAGGCTGACATTCTTCAGTTATAACAAGTTTGAAAATTTGAAAATAACTGTTCAAACTTTTACTTACTCTTACTAACTTTCAAGACTGATGAACAGCAAATCTGGGTGAATGGTGTCCTCTTGGAGGGAAATTCTCCATTCATGGTCGAAGCTGCTGTGATCTCTTTCATTGCGGGTTTACGACATGGTTGCGCCATCCCTTATTCCCACTGTCATCCACCTGCAAACATGCTGTGACAAGCTTCTATACAAGTGTGAATAAGGAGGGGGAGGGGGGGGTCTGAACACAAAGTTAGAGCACATTTGAGTGCAAGCACCTTTGAGAATCCAGTGTAATGTAACCTTGCAATCTTTTTTACTGTAATATATTCTGCCAATTGGGACTGAACACGAAGAATCTTCTGAAAGTTTCCAATTCTCGCTTAACTTTTGAGCTAAATATGTGCAAAACCACCTGGGACTTTGGAAAGGTTATTTTTCTCATGTCAGATGAATCCAGGAAGACTGTGAAGGTTGAGTGTTTTCTCCAAGAAATGTTGGTCGGTATTTAAAGTTCTTCCTATTGTCACTTCAGTGGATACTTCAACCATATAAAAGAAAAAAATATCAATGTGGCACAAAAATATGTATTTTAATGGGAAATATGACATATTTTCCAAATAATCCTTCCTGCTTGTCTCTTCCTGCCTGATTCAGAAGCGGTGAGGAGCATCCCAGTACCCGTCGGGATGAACGGGAGCGGCACAGGCGGGACGGTCCCCACCAGCCTCAGTGGGCAGCAGCTGGCCTCTGCCATCCCCTCGCACGCTGCCGGCAAGTCCTGGCGCAGCAAGTCCATGAACCTCAAGCACAGCGCCACTTCGTCCATGCTGGCAAGCCCCACGCACTCCCCCATCCTCTCACCCCAGGCCTCTGAGGGCCTTCACCCGCACGGAGGGGATGGGTCAAAAGCAGGGTCGGCCGGTAGTGGCGGAGCCCAGAGGTCAATGCTGGAGAAGTTCCGCTTGATCAACCCCAGATCGGCTTCACGCGCGTCTGCGTCGGTGGCGGAGATGTCTCTGCAGGAGGAGGACGACATGTTGGAGTACGGCGAAGAGGAATTGACGCCCACGGGGTCGGTGTGCAGCAGCAGCGGTAACAACGCTACGTCCAAGCAGATGTCTACCAAGACCACAGCGCCGTCCCTCGCTGCACCAAGCAGGACCTCCTCTTCCTCCAACCCTTCATTTTCAAAAGCGTCTGCCAACGGCAGCAGATCCGTGGCCTCGTCCAAAGACAAGGAGGACAGAGGCAGATCTGGGAAGTCCTCTAAAGACAGCTCTCCACCCAAAGAGGAGCGTGAGTCATTCGCCGACCCCACCAAGAAGACCTCTAAAATTGCCAGCCTCATCCCCAAGGGGGGGAAGCCGTCATCGGGAAAGAAAGACGGAGGCACCTCCTCGGCTACCAGCAGCATCCCCAAGTCGGGACTCAAAGCTCCCTCACAAACAGCGTCTAAGCCTCAGAGCCAGGCCACCTTGAACAGCAGCGGCAACATGCGGGGTGGAGAGGGGGACCGAGCCAAGCTGACAAAAGGGGGCCAAGGCGGGAGTTTCTACATACAGCGGCCCGGTGGGGGCCCAGAGGGCAAGAGGACCAGCATGACCTCCTCCACCAGCACCTCAGCCCTGTCTGGGACCAGTGGGATAATGGGAGGAGGAGCCCTCGGAGGGAACGGAGTAGTTCAGCTTCCCCAGCAGCAGCAGCACAACCACCCCAATACTGCCACTGTGGCCCCCTTCATGTACAGGTGAGACGTGCGTGTGTGTGTGTGTGTGTGTATTACATCCATGCACAAGCAAAGTTGTCTATTTCCAACTGTCCTACACTATTTAACCCCAGAGAGGTCCATATATTGACCCTTATTCTTATAACCTTAACTGCACACACTCACCCAGGATGTTCCTGGAGCACTCCCAGTGATCAGCTGGCGCTCCCCCCACTTTGCATCTTGCTCCCGCCTCCACATCTTTTCACAGTCATTATAGTACAAATTAACATCCCCTGCCTGACGCTTGCCAAAGCCTATTATCTCCCTGTCTGGGTATCGTCTCTGATGCGAGGATCCCAGACATCGGCAGTGTCTTCTCGTCACACAACCGGTGTTGTTTTGATGCACGTAGCTGGCGTTGCAGGAAGTGGGTAAATCTGCCCGGCAGCTTCAACGACGGCAGAGGTACCAGAGGGTGAAAAAAACGGTAGAGCCGCCAAAGTTTCTGAGATGGCTTTGTATTCAGAGAGAAAGAGAGTTTTGAATCCCATTAAACAAGGCTTAATCCCTCACCCTTCTCTCCCTCTCTCGTCTGACTACTCTGGTGTGCACAGTCAGCTTTGCCTCACTGAGCTGTGCCTCTTTCCAGCATTAGCATTACTTTAATCCTCCACGTTCAGCAAGTTAAAACAGTCCGCGGCCGATACTGGGTGATGAGTCAGTTAAAAAAAAAGGGATCCAAAGGCCCAATCGATGAGCAATAGGTTAAAAAAAATGTTTCCAAAATGTACCGTATGTGATGCCACAACATAAACCTAATATAAACAGACTTGGGGAACGAATTCACAATTTGTACTTACCGAGAGATGCTGCAGGTTTCTACTCAACAGTTTGAGTTTCTAGTGGTACTAGAAACCCTTTCTTCCTATTATCTCTATTACACAATATATATTCTCTATTATGTAGTTATATATAGATGGTGGCGCATGGAGTGCGCAGGGAAGCGTAACGTTGGCGGTTTTGCACCCCGGCTGCTCCATGTCCCATGTCGAAGTGTCCCTGAGCAAGATGACATGACATGTAATGTAATGTAATAATATTTAATGATAAATTGGTCAGTGTCCGAGAATATGTGACAAAATGACTGTGTGGAGGTCTAGTTGGAGTTGGCTAACTAATGGCTAACACAATAGCTCTCCAAGCGGCAGTCTGTTGGGTTGTTCTGCACTGGGCAGCTTACACTCCTTGACATTTGGTTCTCAGACCTGTGAATTACATCAGTCAAGTGCTCATAAAAGGACAGGGTAACCCCTCCTTTCTGGCAGAGCCACTTGCACCGTATGTTCTAGTTCATCACTTCATCACCCAAAAATATAGTCCAGCTATAGTTGACCTCCACAAGGGTCTCCATGAAATCCCAGCTATTACCTTGTGAGCATACTTCTGTTGCCTCTCATCTTTGTCCTCCTCTTCTGTGGCTATAAATAGCCCCCCCCACACACACCACTCGCTGTGCTGCAAATTTACCATCATTTTCAGCCCAATTGGGCATTTTTGCCTTAGTCACTTTCTCCTCTATGCCCACATTAAGGCGTTTCCTCTGCCAAGTTTAACAGACCGGAGTGGTTGCAGGACTTTGCCGCAGTTAGTGTGCAGGATTGATTCGGGTTGGCCCCCTCTGTGTCTTCTTCTGCTCGGAGGAGTATCGTGACTGATAGGAGCACTTCAGGGAAAGTGAATTCCTCAACCAGTGAGTGACGACCAGCTACACATTTACATTTGAAAATAAGCTCTAACTGGATAATATCGGTTCATTGACGCTCCCTTTAATATATCCCTTTAATATTATTTTACCTTCAACCCATATATCTGCTGTATGTGTACTATATTGTGGGTTGTGCATTATTGTTGTGTGCAGCGATAGTTTTTTGTGAATGCACTGAGGTGAGGGAAGCCTGCAGGAAGAGAAAAGAAAAGCTTTTATCACATGAGCTGAAATCACAGGCTGATGTTGCTGTTGTATTTGGCAACCAATTTTTATCTGCAGCTCTGCAGGTGGTGGAGGTCCCTTGTGTGTGCGTGTTTGAGTGCGTGTGCGTCTGTGCGTGTGTTGGCTCCATCGTAGAGGCTGGTTGGACTCGCTCCTGGTTTCTTCAGATCAGCAAGCCCACGGCTGAGCACGTAGAGGAGGACACAGGCAGTTGCACACTGGCATTCGAAAGCACTAATAGAAAGCCCTCCCCCCCCACCTCCCACCTCCCCCACTTTGGAGATGTCCATCTGTTGCACATGTGACTGAGACTAAAAACAGACTCTGAAATTCAGACTTTTTTCTTGTTTAACACGGCAGAGACCGGATGCAAGGACTAAGAAGTCCAGCAGTAACTACACTGTACTGCTGGTTGGTGTGAATGCTGCCAATGGAACAAAAAGGAAAGGAAGTCTGCTTCACAGTAAAATTGATCAAATTCATCAATCAATCATTTTCGGAATTACCAGATTGTAGAGGTTATTATATAATTTGGTCAATCCACTGTCCATTTTTTTTCAAAAATCTCATGTGTAAATATATTGTGGAACAATGACAATATCGCTGCCATGTTTATATTACATCACCCAGCCCTTCTTGAGCAGAAATGCTATCTGTGTGTGTCCAAGCAGCGCTCTAACATCAATCCAAATGGATCTTAATGAGACTTAAGGACGATTAGAGGACAACAATTGTTATTAAACACAAATAATTTAACAATCAACAATTATTTCCTCTGAACTTTTGCAAAAACAAAGCAAAAAATGAGGATATTCTAAAAGTGATTTGTTTGGCAATAGTTTAGAAAGATCGTTTATGGATTTCCATGAGCCACAAAAAGACGCAGAACACTTTGGTGCTCAGGAATCACCTTATTGCCGTTTTGTTTGCCTCTTGACAAAGTCTGTTGGTACCGCCAACGCCATATGTTTTAGGCAGGTGGGTATTAAGTACAATTCATATTGTTTTTGTGTGAGCTGGACTTTTTTTACATTTTTTGACATACATGTCCGAAAGCATTATGCCGCTGCAGTGTTTGACAGTGACTGAAGGAACCAGACACCGCAGCATCTCTCAGTCTCTCGCAACCACCCTGGAAGCTGCAGGGAGCTTTTCAGACGTCTCGGCCTGCCTTTCTAACTGCCTCGCGCTCGCTCGTTTTTTCTCTCCTGTGCCCCCAGGACATTCTCAGAAAACGACTGCACCATGGTGGCCCCAGCTGACCCCTGCCTCAGCCCCACCAAGGGAGAGCTGGTCTACAGCAAGACAGCCAAACAGTGCCTGGAGGAGATATCAGGTACAGTGGGTCGACACACATTCTGTGGACTGTGCATGCATTATATTTCTCTGTGTGGGTGTCCGAATGTGTAATGCCATGTGCATTGGCTCCTATAGGACTGGCTTTACACTGTGGGGCTTTAGCCGTGGTCGTCCATATGCCTGCTGTATTGCTGTGTTCTTTAGGAGATGGAACAAGTGGTTTAGCTAGCATTAACATTTGTTTATTCACATTATGGATTCGCTCCTCTACCTAATATTTCAGAGATAGAGGGTTAATGCAGTTACAGTTAAAGAGGAGCTGCATGGTGGGAGACTTATTGAAGGCTAATGCTGTGTATAGCTAATCCGAGGTATTGGATTGTTTTTGGTGTGTGTGTGTGTGCTTACTGGGGGTTCCTGTTTGACGGTGGTAACATGCGGTAAAGGGATAAGGTCAACGCTGTCAGACTGACAACACGAGCATCTGCAGCTTTTTGGTGGTTTCTTTTTTTTTACGCTCTTGCAGAATGTTGCTGTGTATTCAAAATCCCAGCAAAGAGTTGCTTGAGATTTTATCCAAAGCTCCTAATGTGTAGTTAGTTTAGATATCAGCGGTATTTCCATAATGGGGGATGGATGCACATCACGCGCACACACTTCACAACGTAATCAAAAAACTGGCCATGTTTTGAAGCCTTAAAGCAAGATACAACTTTCATGAAGAGTGTAGTGATACAAGGCCCCAATAATTCAAACATTTTCTACAACCTTTTGTATATTATATATATTTAGTTTATGATTTGAAAGCTGCTGTTTGAAATGATTCCATCTTACGTTTGTCTGCCGAGAGTGCGAACATCTTCATCTTCCTTTAATCACGGTCAGTGGACATTCGTTCAATTGAGCCTCTGCAGCCCAGAGATCAGTGCCGAGGAACATGACCAACTTCGAACCACAAACCCCTGTCGAAGGAGCCGGATGGGAGCTCCGAGCAGGCAACACGCACACAAACCGCTGGCAAAGACACATTCCTTTCTTTCATTTGCATCTTGCCATTCGCCAGAGGAGACCTCTGTGTCAAGTACATCCCGTGTGCATTAAAGTGGTACGGTTGCCTCGCATTCTCCAATATCCACCGTGTTGTCTGTTTTTGGAATTTTAGCAATGATTCAAGTCACCTCCAAAGATCCTGAAATAGCTATGGCCGATGAATCCTAACGGGCATGAACTCAACAGGAAAAACCAAGCCGTCAACCAAGTGAAGCCGGAGAGACTCTACAAAGCGTCTACAAAGTGCAGCGTACACAAACAACAGCGCGTGATTACTGGTCTCAGGGATGTCAGGTCGGCTGTGACATTCCAGACATTGTGGCAGGGCTGCGGCTTTTGCGCAGCCCATTATTTGAAGGATGGAATTAGACTCCGACGTGGGCCTTTGTTTTGAGGTCCATTTCAAACGCTCCGCTCTCTGCTGTGGCCGTTTCACATCCTTCCCTTATTCCCCAAACTCTCGGGGGAAATGGGTCCCTGGGAAAGCAAATTCCACTTTTTGCAAATACCACAAACGCCACATGACAGGCCGGCTTAGTTTGCATGCACAAGCTCGTTATCCACAAGGTTGATATATACGATTTTTGTGAAACGATTTGGAGAGGACAAAAGTAAAAGCAGCTGAGGCGACGCCCTCAGTCGTTTAAACGGTTGGTTTCGATTAGGAATAGCTCAAAACATCGTTAGTAGCTTCTGAGCAATGCGCTAACTATGAGCAAAACCTCAATTAGGGTTTCTGAGGCCCCTTGCTTCCTCCCTAACCATCTGTTGGTGACCAAGATTAGACAATGTGTGGAAGACGGGCTGTGAGTAATAACGACGGGGCTAATAAAGCTCGCACTGATTGATGGGGATACGCTGGTTCTGTGGTCTCCTTGTTGATCCACGATAAGCCGCCGCCGGTCCGGCGCTTTTGCTGCTGCAGATAGCATTTAATTATGTCGGCTGCCGCGAGCTCGCAGGTGCTGCTGTCCAAACAACTCGCTGTCACACTTCAGGGGAGAGACGGAGAGACAGAAAGAAGACAAGAGGGACGGAGGAGAGTGTGAGTTGGAAACCATATGGGCTGTAAAGAGGAGGGGAGCGAGCAGAAAAGCGGGAGAACGAGAGGGATTAGGAGAAAGACACGGTGATGAGCAGTGAGAAGGAGGGCTGAGAGAGAGAGAGAAAGGGAGAGAGAGGGAGAGAGAGTACTGCAGGCTGCACACAGGAATGAACAAGCCGACTGAGCGCTATGTGCGTCCGTTCTTTGGCTTCACCAGCCGTTCGCTGAGAGGGACTGTCAGAGAGACGCGGGCAGGAGGGGGACAGGGGGGGAGCCAGTGGCGGTGAGGCGGTAATTAAAGGAGCGACAGAAGGCAGATAAGAGGGGACGAAAAGGGACTGTCCTTTTAAAAGGGGAAATAGATAAAGAGAGCGCGGGAGGGCAGGGAGAGAGAGAGAGATGTAGCGACTCCACGCCCCTGAATGTGGTGGAGGAAGAGGAGATGAGGACAGAAGACGGAGTGCTAGAAACAAGTGCTTGCATCCGGCTCGTCGTCTCCACCTGAGCATGGAGCGGCTCGAGGATGGACCTGGAGTCCCCCTGCACGCCTGAGAGGAAGGCTTCATCTCCTCTCTACCCGGACCCCCCCCGAGCTCGCCTTCCCTGCAGCCCACCGCAGCTCGGTCTCAGCCTCCTCCGTCCCACCCGCCTCTCCCGGTGACAGTGTGTCCGCCATGTGAAACGGACAGCTGCGCACAGGTGGATTCCACTCGCGCGTGCAGTTTCTCCCGCGGAGGAAAGGTAAGCCGTGAAAGGGGGGGGGGGAGCGGCGGACGCGGAGATGAAGAGGGGAGCAGAGTTCTCGGTGTACCAGGGAGGCAGCCCGGCGCGACGGCCTCCCCAGCCCCTCGCGGACAACCTCAACCTGCGGATCAAGCAGCGCTCGCTCACCAACTTGACGCTGTCCAGCGACGGCGAGCAGCGGGTTTACTCCTTTGAGCTTGACGAGCCGCCGCCACTCCTGTCGCGACCCAGAAGCTCGCCGCTGCACTCGTCCTACACGCAGCGGGCGGGGGGCAGCCTGCAGGGAAGCCCAAGGAAGGAGGCGGTCGCAAGGGGCGGAGGCGCCCAGGGCACCAGGGCCCGGTCCCTGTCGCTGTCGCTCACCAAGGTGCTCTCTCAGTCAGAGCACTCCCTCATCCCGGTGCCCTGGCGGTGCACAGGTGCGGGCGGGCGGCCGCAGCGGGCGTCGTACAGCGGCCACCCGCGGACAGAGCCGGCGCGGGCATCCAGGGGGGAGGGGGCAACGGATGAAGAGGTCGGCAGCGGGCGCACAGACGAGAAGCCAGCGGCGGGAAGGGCCGACCGTAAGCGGGTGGGCAGAGAGAAGGACGGCGGGTACTGGGCGGAGGAGGAGGTCTCGGGGGGAGGACCTCGGGAGGGAGCGGCTCAGCTGGATAAAGAGTTGATCCTCACCATGCTGGGCGACCTGGAGCAGGTGCTGCACACGCAGCCCCGCCCACGTAAGTCAACACAGTCAGGAAATAATCATGAATGTGGACTTTTATAGACACAAATCATTTGGGGGTTGCCATCTTTCCAACGCTGAAAAAGGATTACAATGGCAACACCGCAAATGGGAAGTCAAAGGGTGCACCTAAATATGAAGTTTAAAAATGCAAACTTGTACCAAATATTATTGTGTCACAGCAGAAAAAAGCCTTCAATAAGCCGGTTATTTTCTTAATCCTCTTGACAATTTCTTAGGGCACACCATTTTAAGACGTTATTCAAAAAACGTTTCGAAGACTGGCAGGAAAAGCACACACAACCTCCCTTGTGCATTCACACGCACACATACTCACTCAGAGCATCCACAGGATTTACACTGGCAGCATGCAGTGTGATGTCATGGACACACTCGGATGAAAAGATGCCTTTACACACATCCGTCTTTATCGCTTGCACTGTCCCATTCTGCAGCCCTGTTGAGTGTCCACTGTGTATTTAGCAGGCGTACCTTGCCACACCTTGACGGTAGCTCCATTAATGCCGGGCTTTCCATTCTGGAATGACAGAAAAACGCGCCGCTTTGATCCTGGAGAAGGGGTGCTGAGGGGGGCAGGTGGGGGGGGGGGTTTAGCTGATGGGAAGCACCGTGTATTTAAACAGATTGTAATTTCACCTTGCAGATAAAGCAAAGGAAGAGGCACGGCAGGGAGAGCTTTGGCGGTGGGCAGATTGTTGATCCCTTTTAATGAGTGGACCACGTCATGATGCAGCAGAAAAAAGGAATACCCCGAGATGTAGGCGATGGAAATGTCAGCCCCTACACCCACTGAGAAAAAACAGCTTGTATTCCTTACAGCCCCCCCTCGCCGCCTGTGACTCACGGCAGCAACGTAATCAATAGCTCATTATTACACCTGTGTGTGTGTGTGTGTGTGTGTGTGTTCCATCTACAGTGTTCGTCCATACAGGTGATCCTTCTCTCTCCCTGTGTGTGAATGCCTCCGTACGCACGAGTGTTCCCGGGTTCTGTCTGGATATCTGAGAAGAAGAAAATAATTTGTTCACCTGTTGTCCGGCTGCTGATGTGGCAGTTTGAGCTTTTAGCTCCGGGACCAGCTTTTTGTTGGTACCCATTCGGCCTGATAGGACACACACACACACACACTGTCACCCACAGACATTCAGCCACAGGGAGCGAAAAAGGAAAAATTGCTTGTGGATACATCGATCAGTTTGCCTGTGTGTATGGGTGTGTGTGTGTTTCTGTGTGTGAGAGTGACTGAAAGCTGCCATGGCGACACCCCAGTGTATGTCAGCCAAAGCTTCATTAAGGCAGATTTGTGACAAACCGCTGTAAAGCTCGTTGTGCGTTTGTCTGTGAGAGTGTGTGTGTTGGCATGCGCCGGTATAATTAGAGGACTGGAATGGCTCCCTAATAGTATTCAGCTAGAGCGAGGGGCATCGGCACCAGATCCCATGCATTATTAAAAGAGAGAGGGGGAGAGAGCCAGGACTGCTGGTACAGTACGTGTTTGTAAATGTGTCAGTCCCAAAACGCAGACAACAGGTTTATCCTGAGCAGTGTTCCCTCTGCTGCACCTCATAGATGTGTGTGTCTAGATGCATTTGTGGACGTGCCTTCCATTTTTCTTTTTCAATGTGGCTGCTTCTAAGCCTCACCGGGGCCGAGAGCTGGACGCGCAGCTCCGGTCCAAACGATTGAAACACCACCTGTATACGTCCGCGCTATGCAAGGAATTAGGCGTAACTCGTTCCTGCTGCTCACAGTGATTCACACAAGAGCCGATGAGCTGGTTAACTCGTTGGCATGGTCACTGGTGTGATTTAATGTGTTTGTTTATGTGTTGGGCTGCAGAGAATTCCCAGATGTCCTGTACTCAACTGGACTCTGGCCTTTGCACCTGCAAAAAACAATATGCACACACACACACACACACACACACACACACACACACACACACACACACACACACACACACACACACACACACGTACACGTCTCGGCAGGATATCAATGTTGCATGAAGTGTCCGCTCATGGCTGCTACTCGAGGGCTTGATTGCCCCATGATACTTCAATGGCATTATAATTGGATCTTCCTCAAAGGGGCCCCGGTGAGAGGAGGAGAGGAGCGGAGGAAAGAAGAATTAGAGAACATCAGATCCCAGAAAAGTTTTTGGCAGCAGAGATCCGTCAACCTGCTGTAGAATGACAGCACATTCCGTGTCTCTCAGCTCGGTTTTAGATGATACAGGAACTTATTCAGGCCTTCTGTGTAGTGGCTGCCAACACAACTTTGTCACTTTGAATGTGTGTATTTGTTCTCCTAGGTTTTATCTCACCAGTGCCACATGGATTCTAATTACTGACCATCTATTGTGGGTATCTAGTATGGGGTCAGAGGTCAAGAGCATAGGGGACCAACTCAACATCGCGCAATCTACAGTGCGTTTGCTCCGCAAAGCATGCTCCTCAATTATGCTAGCCTGCAAGGTTCGCTACCCAGTTTGATATGTTATAATTGAGGTCATGTCTTCATTTTGGAAAATACTTTTTGAGAGTGCAGACAGCAGATTGTTTGAATCTACAAGTCTTCAAACAAACTGCTGCTGTTACTGGTTGCCCTGCATCTTTAGCTTAGTTTTAAAGAAAGATGATTGCAGAAAGTAAAATGAGGTTCAGTTGAGGTCAGAGAGCAGAACTGTAGCAACTGTGGGCTGTTCGCCTGTGTTGAAATGCATTAATGTCCAACATATTTGGCAGTAATGCGGAGACCAATTTTTATTAGAATGAGATATATACTGTGCATTTGTGCTGAAGGGGGGTATCCAAATACCTTGAAGTCAACTCTGAAATCTGATGACTTTTTACCGACCCGCATTGCAATCGGCATGATAAACGCCCCACCATCTCCCCCTCTCTCTCCGGCACTGATGTCGCTGGAGGCCCTTTTCTAAACCTCCAATCACCGCAGCATCTTCTGTGTCGTCTCCCTGCACGAGAGCTGCTGGCTCATCCGTCTCCACCGTGGAGACTTCTGACGACCGTCTGCAAACCTGGAGGAGCAGTGTGACCACCGTCCATTTCCCGGCGTCACGCCACTCCTTATTTAGCCATCACCCAGCTCAATGGACAAAGGCTACCCTGACGAGTGAACACACGGGCTTAATTCGATCAGACAAGCTGATCATTTGGGCTGCGGCTCGCAGTCCTGAAGTATAGTCCCCCCCCCCCCCCCCCCCCTCCCATGCGCTTTTTGGTCAAAAGGGATGCCTCTAAACAAAGACTTAAACCAACAAGGAGGAGTCTTGGGTGGCTTCCGCCGGGCTGAGAAAGTTTGTGGGGTAACGGATTTTCTGCGTGGGCCTGGAGGGAAGATGTCAGCGCTGCGTAAAACAATGTATCCGCTTCTCAGACTAAAAAAAGAGAATGCGTGTGGCGCAGCCTGACTGATTCAATCAATGGCTTCCAGAGACGTGCGCCCGTGATCTGCCGTCATTCTGTGTCCCTACGAAGACGTTCAATGAAATGCTGCATGTCAGATGTCCTCCTCGCTTGTTGTATTGCACATGTAGCCTTCATGTGTGGGTTTTTGGTGGCTGCCCCCTCTGCGTGTGTGTCTGTGTGTGTGTGTGTGTCCAAACATCTCAGTAAATCATGTTAAAATGCTCGTCCCCAGGAGAGGACCCTGAGACGAGACGCATGAGGACGGTGAAGAACATTGCCGACCTGCGGCAGAACCTGGAAGAAACCATGTCCAATCTTCGGGGGACACAGATCAGCCACAGGTAGGCACACAGATGGTACTACCCATCACTTACTGGCAATGTTAAATTACTCCGTTCTGGTTTTTGGAAAAGAAAAGTGAGGGAATACATTGTCTCACGTATTTGCAAAGGGGACGACAATCCCAGACCTCGTCTTCCACTCACTAAACTGCCAAGGCTGCAATTGTTGATGTGTTTCACTCCTAAAACGTCTAAAAGTCTAAAAGTTCAAAAATACACTTTTTGTAGTGTACCGTAAAGTGAATTACGGCCACTTTTGAGGAACAAATTTTTCACGCAAATTGTACCCTCCATTTCTTTTCAAAACAACAATAATGTTCAACACTTAACAAACTGAGTGCAGATATGTATAAGCCACCTTATACTAACTTATATTAACATATTTTATTGCGTGGCTGCAATGAGCCTGCTTTTCCCTACAAATCTTTTTAAAACAGGGTTGCAGACTTGATACGGGCATTTCTTATTAAAGTTGAGCTGGGATCTGTTTATCATTTTGAGAGAGGTATCAGTAGTCTGTGTACTTTTTGCTCTAGTAATTTGGGAAGTTCTCAATATATCGTAGTTCGTTAGCACCATCGCCTCACAGCAAGAAGGTCCTGGGTTCGACTCCGCCCAGTGGCCTTTCTGTGTGGAGTCTGCATGTTCTCCCTGTGTCTGCGTGGGTTCCCTCCAGGTTCCTCCCACAGTCCAAAGACATGCTCTCTGGGGATCAGGTTGATTGGTAACTATAAATTGCCCGTAGGTGTGTGGATGTGAGTGTGAATGGTTGTTTGTCTCTGCGACCCACCTGTAATACCACTGCGACCCACTAGAGAGTCGTGCCCCACAGTTTGAGAGACACTGCTCAAACCCTATGCAGGAGACGCACCAATATCACGACCTAACCGCTGACAATAGGTTTCCTTTGTGAGTTTTACTTCCCAGCACTTATCACTGGAGATTCCTCGTGTTTTCTCTGATTTTGAAATGAGTCATTTCAGCTCAGCGATCCAACAGGGAGATGCGTCACCGACTGTTAGCATGTCTTCTTCTCCCCGCATTTTCCTGTTAATCATCTGAAATCCCAGGCGCCACCAGCTGGCGCAGATGAAATGACATTTCAGGAGTTGATAGACAACTCTGTGAGCCGCGGGGGGCCGCCGACCATCTCAACAGTGTGGAGGCAGCGGCTCAGGCGACGATGACGTAATAACCATTGGTTTATGTCGGCTCCTCTGGGCAGTGGCTCCCTGCTCTGCCCCTTTCCCTCCCTCACTCTATTATTTTGTGTGTTTTGCCCCATTTGCAGTAGAAGAGCTTGGCTGGGCTGAGACAGCCAAGACAGATGACGGTCTGTGTGTGTGCATTTGTTCTCTTTTTTTTTCAGAGGAGTCTAAGCCAGGCGCGATCAATAAAGCGCCATTGTCTTATCACGGGGGTTTGGGTTGGGGGGCGATTGATCGGTCTGTAAGGGACGGTCAGTAAGAAAGATGTGCAAAGTGCCTGATTGTCACCAGCATCATATACTGTGTTTGAGGGCTTGAACCGCAAACCGCTAAGCAGCCGTTACATTTAACGGAAACAAAAAGGGAATTGGGCTCTTGCGTTGAAGAGTCTGCGGACATGTTTGTATTGTCAATGCAAAGCCAGCCTCCCAATGCCAATTCTGTCCATGACAAAACCCCGACCGGACCCTCTTAGTCCCTCCCATGGAGGAGAAATGGCTGTGATCACCAAGAAGCTCTGAGCTCTTTTAGTAATTAATCACCGCTCCGCTCGAGCAGACGGGACTGTCATACTCAGAACCTGTTAATACCCCATTCGTGCAGGCTTGGTTTTAGGTCTGCCAGCTGGAGCCATCAGAACATGGACGTGGAGTCGCACAGAAACAGCCACTGCAGTTCTGTGGAAACCATTATACCATTAGACCAAAGACTGCATTGTTGCCATGTAGCCAGTGGCAGTTAATATTGCCCGGTTGGAAAAACATGATGCCACAGTTTACGCGTTTAACCTTTGATACTGCAGCCTTCACGGGAGCCCAGTTCACGTCACACTTCACAATTTCCTCAGAGATCCCGATTTTTTAAGGCCGCACAGACTGTCTATATTGATGAAAAATCGCCTTGAGCCCTCGAAAAAAATGTTATTAATTCGCATTTAAAGGGGAAGAAAAAGGTATGAATTTGTCAACAAATACTCACCTGCCAGGACAAACAGAAAAGGGTCGTGAGAAATCCCCGTCTGCCCTCAGAGACGTTCAGGAACCCGCTGGACTTATTAAGCATTCCGTTGTGGTTTGTTGATTTGGTGCTCACATTCGGGGTACGGAGAGAACGCTGGCAGGCTAAATTATTCATTGCTTTTGAACTGAGGAGATAGCCGCTGGTCGTATTTGTGCTCATGTACAGGATTCTGAGAAGAGAGCAATTTGTTGTAGATATGCCTTTAGCTGACGCATCATTACCAGGCAATTTGCAAAGATTGCAACCGTTCACTAGGAGTTAAGTTACATTTCTGAACAGTAACGATGTTTCAAAGCCAGAGACACTCCTCGATCCCAGACAATGTTGCTGTGAGAGCAGTCAGACGGAGATGAGGAGCGATGTGGTTTAGCTGGAGGACGACAAAACCGGGAGCTTCTTGACAGGAGGAGTTTTCCGTCCATGATGGAAGATGGAAAGTGACCTCTCACCAGAGTGTGTGTGTGTGTGTGTGTGTGTGTGTGGGTGTGTGTGTGTGTGTGTGTGAGTAATGGTTGTGTTGGCGATCCAGATTGAAGACGCGTGTCTGTGGTGGCGGTGAGCTACGCCTCTGAATCACTCAAGCTAGCAGGGTATAACATTCGAGCGCACCCTTACCAGACTCACTGCGACATGCACACGCACACAAAACAAGGCCGCGGCGCGTCACAGTTTTCTCTGCGCTCCAAGCAGTGTGCCTATGGATGTGTGTGTGATCGTGTAAAATGACTACTTCTCTTGATGTATTCCCTGCGTGAACATGAGTTCATGGTTTGAAGCTGTATTTAATACAGCATGATGTTCATTTAGTAAATGATATCATTCCACTGTGAGACCAAGTCTACATAGTCTACGACCTATTCATGGCAACATGTCTACAGTCTGATGCTATTTAGCTTTTCATGTCTTTTGAATCGTTATTTGACAGACTGCAACTAGGTGAACTTCTCTGTCATTATTCAATAATTATGGATCCAACACTTTATTGGGGGATTTACACATGTCTCATAAGCTCTTGCCTCCAAAAGAATGTTATTCACTCCTACTAAAAATGTTCCTGCAAGCCTACCAATTTGTACAAGTGAGAGCGGGAAATTTCATGTTGAAAAGGTGAAAAGAAAACGCCAGGATAAAGTTCCTCAAATGTAACTAATTTTCCTCTATGTTATACAAATTGTTACAAATATATGCAGCGTATTTACCTAATGTTTGGAGTGCGTGGACAGCTGTAAAAAAAAAGAATCTTGCAATCTTTTTTTCCACCATTCATTTCCCCACTTTTTATTTAATTAATTCAAGTTCACCTGTTCTTAAAGGTCCCAAAAAATTGTTTTGGTATTTATTCACGATACATTAGTCATGTGTGACTTAGTTATGTGGTTACAAAAACACATAAGAAAGAAATACTGTGGCTTATATTGTACAGTACATGACATTTGACAGCATTTGAAGCTGAGAACGCAGAAAGAGCTTCCAACAAACTATTGGAAATACAGGTTCTGTTTAACTGTTAGACCCCCAGACCCCGTTAGCAGGAGAAAAGATGTAGGGCATTTGTATTCACCATTGCTCAGCAATAACACACCTCCTGCAGTCAATGTGGATTTTTGTCCTGCTGATCTCGTGGCTGAACAGATGTTTTGTTTATGCCATGAACCCAATTATATTGAGGATATTGTGTGTTTTCCGTAGTTGAACATGTGTGTTCATATGTGGTAGGTCTTAAACATCTCTGCACTTTTCCTCTTTGCTTCCTGCTGGGCCATATCTCTGGTTTTGCATGCTCATTTATCTCAACACATACACACCCACACAGTCTCCCTCATTGAATCTGCCGCTCTTCTTTTTTTCTCTCTCTCTGCTGCCTGGAGATAAAGATAAGCTGATTTTGCAACCTACATTGTGTACTAATGATTAAATGGTTTTGAGTTCTACACCACGGCAAATTGATTTTGGTATTGTCACATTGCCTGTGATCAATTTATTAGATATGCAGCAGTTTTTGTTATTTTTGTCTAATTTGGCTGTTCGGAACTGACACTGCCCGTATCACTTATATTGTGTGTCTGTGTGTGTTTGTTTCTGTGTTAACCTCGGGAGGTGTTGACAGAGATGTGCTGTGAATCTGGCCGGCCTTGTTGCCCCTCTCATGGCAACTTGGCATTGCCCATGACGCACAGACACAAATGCACAAGGAGGCTCACACCTCTCTCCCAGCTATGTGTGAGACGCTGCTTTAAGGTGTCATTGCTTCTTTTTTTTGCTCACCTAATGGAGGCTGCAGACGCAGGTCTCCATCCGCACTACCGTCCGTAAAAATAATTCTAAAGGCGATATTGCAGCAGACGTGCAGCAAAGCGTCATTTATATATTCATTTACATAATAAGGGAAAAGCTAGTAAAAAAAGTTGCTAAAGCTCATTGTAACATACAAACATGATATCCTTATGATGAAGCGTGTGAATGCAGTGCCCCCTTCCTCCCAGCAGAGAGAGCTCACACTGCCACTGCCGCCACGCCGCGCTCCCCGTGTCATTCTGCATGGAGCTGCAGGGCTGGATGTGTGTGTGTGTGGCCATGACTGTGTTGTTTTTGCATTCACAGTCCAGCTGATTTACTGGCTGCATTTCCATCACGCTGTTTGCAAATTGGAAAAATATGTTAGATAGATGGAAGTTGCGTGTTGCACAGGAGTTGACATGTTGCAATCCCTCTGCAGCAATATTATAAAAATAAATACGTGGAGTGGCTGTTGCAGGGCTGATGGAGGCTCGGTAAGATGCTCTCGGTCTCCCTCCATCAGGTTCCATTACTTTTCCCCAATCCTTTAGTTGATGACATTTCATTTACTTAACGCAAGATTTATCTTTCCTGTCAATGATTAAACAAATTTAAAATTCTGAAATAACCAATCTGTAAAGACCTGAGAAGCTGCCATTACAAGAGTTCAGCCGTTACTGACTTCTAGTTATTTCCTAGTTTTATTTACTTAAATCAACCTTATTCATCCTTTGTCTTTATAAAGCATGCTTGGTAGCTTTGTCTCTTTTTCTCCTTGTGAGATGTACCATTATGGTTTGACGTGTGCTCTCATGGGAGCATTCGCTATAAGTTAACACGCTTGAAGGAACTGCACTTTAGGGAAGGTTATAGAGCCGAACACACACGTGCAGAAAGCAAGGTTACGAGAAACAACATAAGAGCAGGAAGGCAGTGGCGCTCGATGGATGCCGACAACTCTCGGCTTCAAATGTGATCGTTTCCCCCTGAACGATTTGCCGTTTGCACAGGACTGCACTTGATAGGATGACTTGAGATTTCGGATCATTCAAGACACTTTCCACCAAAACGTCGGAATAAAGGCCTTATTTCCTCTGTCTCCACAGTACACTAGAAACCACCTTCGACACCACGGTGACCACCGAGGTCAATGGGCGGAGCCTACCAGCCCTGACCACGCGCTCCTCCCCCATGGCCTGGCGTCTGGGCCAAACACAAACCCCACGCCTCCAGGCAGGCGACGCGCCTTCATTGCCCAGCAGCTACGCTGCGCCCAGAGCGAGCACGACGAGCGCTGGCACCACCACCGGGCGCTACAGCGGCCACTCGGACCCCTCCAGGTTTGTGTACAGCGCCCCGCTGAGGCGAGCGGCAGCGGGGGGCAGAGGGGCGGAGCAGGGGGAGAGTGCAGCAGGAGGGAAGCAGATGGAGGTGGCAGGGTACGTGAGTGATGGGGACATCCTAGGGAGGAACGGCCGGACGGATGAGATCACAAGCGGGTAGGATGACGAGTGCTACGCATGTTAGCTTCCTCTGATGCAATGACTAATTCTGACTTCCTGCTGGAAAGCCTAATCAGTGCTTTACTCACATACAAAAGTTACGTTTACACAGTGTTACTTGCCAAGACGCACTTTCCTTATCCTTTGTGTGCGAAAGTTTTTGCAAAAGCATGAAATTAATTTGTGTTCATGGCATGAACCAAACGGGCACCAACCCATAAAAACCAAACCTCCACAGTACTGCTAGGAGCCAAAAACTCAGACGGTGAACGTGATCACAGTATCATTCTCTGAAATCACAATAAATGTTGTTCAATATGATACTATAGCATCATAGCAGCTACCGAACTTTGGTTTTGAACATAAAACTTCAATCGGTGTCTGTAGATTTATTGCATATCGAAACATTTTCGACAGCCATGTTAGTGCCCCCAAGAGCTCAACCCACTGCAAATGAAAAAAATACGTCCAAATAGATACATACATACATAAATACATCCACAAATGAATTAACATCTTCACTAACCTGACACACATTGAAAACCTCCATGCGCAGCATTTTGTGTTAATTAAGTATTTAGTTCAAAACATTACCAAAACTGTCTCCAAGGGAAATAAGTGATGCACATGGCCGGCACGTACTTGTTGTTGCCATGGTTTCTGACTTAAAGCTCAAAGTCTGAGATCTGTCATTGTCATCGCATGATTCAGATATCATGAAAAAGAGCAAAGGACTAACATTACTTCATCAGCCGTTATCTGAAATCATGGGATTGTACTGTTAAAACAGTCAGAAGAACAATAATTTCATCATCCACAAACGGCAACAACAAGTGGTGTGTGACCCAGTTGTGCGCGTCACTTTGAGTGTCTCCTGGAAACAATTCTTGTCTCGCGCTGAGCACAATGTTTTCTGAAGCCCTTGCATGGGTTGTCCATGCGGTGAAGTCGTTTCCTCATTTACTCGTGCTGTGTTAAGTTGAACGTATTCTCTTTTCAGTATGACGCGCTTCCAAGGCCGCCTTTCCTGTGAACTCTAAAATGTTAAATACAAAGACTTTAGTAGTTACACCGTAGGAAGAAATGCACAAACTAATACCTTGCTACTTTAGAGGGCGTTTTTTGAAGGCTCATCCGTACCAATGAATGGTTCCATTCAATGTCACAGCTGGCTGTGCATTCATTCCACCACGGCCTCCCCCATCTTTCTGCGTTCATTAATACAAATAACCGAGGCCACCACAGGTCGGTCATGCATTAAAAGGGGCACACACACTTTCAGGGCACTCGATACACTGACAGACTGCCTGAATGAAAAAAGATGAGCTAGTGTCTCCCACCCAACATCACGCACGTTGGCTTCCGGCCTTCAATCGCTCATGAGCGATGAATACCTTCAACGCGTGGGAGCAATTGACATGCCACACACAACGCACCCGATAACAGCGCTCCCACTGGGCATCCTTTAGATTGCCCGTGAAGGAGTTTTGGGCGCACGGCGTACTGTCAGGAGGGGGTGGGGGTGGGGGGGGTCTAATGCGATAAAGCATCGGCAGGATTAACGATGTGTCAGAACAGAAAATGTAAGAACACGTCGGGAGGAAAGGTGATTAGCTGAATTATTAGCTTAATTACACTGATGATCCCCAAGTCTTATCAGGCGTGTCTGATAGCTTTCTGGCAGAAGCCTCAAAATCGTACAGCTCCCTCGTTGCCTCGCACACACATAATCATTTAAAGGATTCATTTAATTAATCCGTTGCTCTTTATTCATTAAAAAAAAAAAAGGAAAAACTGAATAACTCAGACTTTTTATACCAAACTGTGGCCGGACATATCAAGTCGGGTCAGTTTGATCTACATACATCCTAGCCCAATATCACGCATTTGCAAATCTGTACAGCATACAACCCCCTCTTCGACATCTACTTGCTCTAATTGACTCCCGTCCCGCAGATACCTCACCGACGGCGGCCTGCATTTGTATGCGCGGAACGCGGGCCGAGCCTCCGACCCCGCCGCCCCCTCTCGAGAAGCGTCCCAGAGAGGCAGCAAAGAGATGCAGGGAGACATAGACAGGTAAGGATGGAGTCCGTCAATCCCACTGCTCGCTTCTACCGGAGGTTTGGACATCGGGGTGGACAGCGCCACGATGTCCACGTTTTGACTTTGTGATCCACGCACGGACGCACTGGATATGTGAATGCAAATTCTTAAATATACCACATTTTCATACAGTGTCTGCCTTTCACGTTATATACATATTAGTCTCCACCATGCACATTTTATGACCATATGACACTTTCCAACCGACAATTACAAAGAGGTTTGCTGACGAATGCTGACGTGACAAAACTAAAAAAACTGAAGAAATAAACCTAAAACCACAATTAACAAAAGTAGAAGGAAAGTTTTGTCCTTCAGAGGGCAGCGCCCCTATTGCAGGGACATCCAAGACTAAGTGAGGGGAGAGAGAGAGAGATGTGCCATCGATTTTTAAGGTTGTCGAGCCACGATTGTGATGACAGGCCGTCAGAGGGGCTGCTGGGAATTGACCGATGCAGTGACATTTCCCGGCGTCGCAACTCTCAGCTTCAGCCAGAATGTTAATGAGCGGCAATAGTTTGAGGTGTGAGGACTGGAAAGCAATCAGATACAGCTCTCAAGTTTGCTGTAATCATTTGAATCAGTACAGTGCTGTTAAAGACACACTCCCTTTGTGGATACCATTCCAGGGGCCAATGTCCTCCATATGCAGGGACCTTTTAAACAGGTAGGACTAGTGCTGATGATGTTTCTGCCTCCTGTCTAAGTACTCCAGTTGTGTCACGGCCCACCGGATCCCTCCGTGTCTGGTCCACGTGCACGCCCTCACAGGGCGCCCTCATCACAGCGGCCAGTCGAGCCAATCAGCCAGGGAGTGTGTCCGATCACATCCCTGACTGGCAGAGCATCCTAAGCCGCCAGACCAGGCCATCGGCCCCGTCAGTCTCGCGCTGGTCTGCCTGTCACACTTTGACACTGTGGGGAATAAGGGAAGGAATGGATTAGAATAAGTATGAACCCTGTCAACCGTCTCTTACATAGGCCAACTCGCCGCCTCAGCCTGCTCAGATATTATCTCTGTATTTGGATATCATGTCTAAAGTCTTCCTCACCTTGCCGTGACGTGAGAGAAATTGTGGCTTTTCACTGTTAATGTCTGTTAGCGCTTCGGGGATTCTGGGAGTGACGAGGAAATATTGATGCCTTCTTACCCCTAAGCTGCCTGCAGGCAGCAGACTGCTGAATGGAGCAGAGTTAGAACGCTGAAACCATGTTTGTTTCTCCCTTCCTCACACAAATGTACAAACACACAAAAGTACACATGGCTTTAATGCTTCTTCGCTGCCTCTCTGACATGTGTGATGGTCGGATGCTGGGCGGTCACATCCCACTGACACATGACCTCAGCCCGGCTTCAGCTCCGTCCGTAGGACAGGATTTGTTCTCCCGCCATATAAACCCCCCCCCCCGCACTCCCCCCGCCCTGGCTTTAAGGGAAATAACTAGCAGATAAGGCTCAAGTTCAAACAATTTCCTGCTGACTTTTAAGAACTTTTCATCTCCTGAATTGCACATGCCGCCATTGTAGGAAGGACAGATACCATCAGTTATTTATTCTTAGATTGGAAGTGAGTTGAATCTACTATTGTGTAGATTCTCCTCCCCCCCTGTCACATTTATTTTCTTTATGGCCGACGTGAACCAGTCGGAACACAGGCAACATCGTAGCCATTTTTCTTCTTGCATGTCTGCTCCAGCACTGTTTCCTTTTGGCTCTCTTACCCAAGAGATACTTTGAGTTTGGAGTGAATGGTTGATTAAAAGGAATAAGGTAGATCTTCAATTTCCGATATTCATGAGGGATTTTCTGATAAAAGTTGTGGTTAATTTATTTTCTTTTATAATTATAAAGTGGCTCATTTAAATGTAAATTTCCTCAAATATCTTTAACCATGTTTCCCCAGACGAGGAATCTGTACTTGCTGCAGTCAGCTGCGGATTATTAAGAGATTTTCAACACACAAGCCTTCTGTTCCGTCCGTTTGTCCTCTAGGAGGATTTAAGGACATGGTAATAAAACTAATCAGTGAAGAAAGCAACATTACGCAGGAACTTCTTAGAGCATATCATCAGAGCTGGGGATGCTGGGAGTTCAGTTATGCTGACAGCAGTCAGTCTGACTCACTCAATATATCTAATGTGTTAGAACTGTTTTTCCTTTGTTACCCACTCGCAACATCTTTGGCAAACTATGGGACTAGCCCTGTTTTTATCTTTTTGTCATTTGGTGCCTGCAAGTGTTACTGATTTTTACAATAGAGACATGGCTGGGGGAAAAATATTGGGCTCAACAAGTAATTGTATTTTCATATAATGCAAATATAAGTACATTATTTGCACTGGCCCAACGCTAGACAGCAGTCTAAAATATCCTTGTGAGACCAGCCCATTGTTTGCTGTACAGATGAAGGATAAGAACATAGACCGTATAGTAAGTGAACATAGTGACGTCACCCATTGGTTTATAAAGTGTGTTCTTAGTTCTGCAACCAGAGAACTGGAGGAGTATTCAGTAGAATGCAAAGCTTCCTCGTTGGCTCCGCTTCTCACAAGCGCCCGGCCAAATATGTATAGCAATGGCTATTAGTGTTCGCCATGATATAAGTGACAGCTTCTTCATAAAGTTTGTGGTCACAAAAAGACGAAGAAGAAGTTGTTACAGCAGACCGGGGGATTTTAGCTCTTGTTGAATACATAGCTTTGGACAAATTCTACTCTATTTTCATTACACAGCAGTGTAAAATGATCGTTTATCCGTAAAGTAAGCTACTGAGCATTTTTTCCTTCCTCCTCTTTGAATAAGCCGTAATTGGGAGCACACTGGCAGGAGTAGAGACACTTGGGCTCTGTGTACATAAACCGATCTCCCACGAGGCTCATTATGCTTTACTCTGTCCATAACAACCCCCATGGCAGCTTCATCCCAAACCAACAGCACCCTGCAGGAAATTCGTTGAAGCCACTCGCCAAGACTCACAGCCTGCAGGCGACTGAGAGACCAGGTCTTTTGGTTGCTGCGCTATGAGACATGTGCATGATGAGGCTGGTGTCAGATACGGCTGATGTGTGTTTGTTGATCGGATCAGCTGTGTGGGTGTCCACGTCGCTTTGGAGAATCGCAGCGTCTTTTTGCTTGGTATGGAAGGTATATAATAATATTTATATATATATAAAGAAATACACAAACGGTGTATTTATAGCCGAGCAGAGCAGAACGGCAAAGGCTCAGACCTGTTTTCTGATCAGTTGGCTTTAAAACAATGGGGAAATGTGCTCGGCCTGAAGCCGCCCTCTAAAAATACCCCGCTGTCATCCAACATAGATGAGCGTGTGCTCGTGGCTTTACTGTCGAGAAAAGACGCCCAAGGAGAGTGTTTTGACACCGACAGGCTTCCCATCCTCACCAGAGTCATGAATAATTAACCGGGCCTCGCTTTTAGCATCCTGGTTTCTTGTGTGTGTGTGTGTGTGTGTGTGTGTGTGTGTGTGTGTGTGTGTGTGTGTGTGTGTGTGTGTGTGTGTGTGTGTGTGTGTGTGTGTGTGTGTGTGTGTGTGTGTGTGTGTGTGTGTGTGTCAGTATATCTCTCCTCCTCTCTCAGCCTCTTGTTTGAGGCCTGAACTCTGCAGCTTCCTCTGCGTTTTTGTTGTTGTTCTCATTTGAAGCTTTTGGGGGATTGGAGACCAGTTTGTGTGTGTGAAAAAAAAGGGAAAAAAATACAGCTTGTTTGTGTGTTTGTTCTGTCCACCCATTTTTTAGGTAAAGTGTGTGTGGAGATTTCTGTGTGTGTGTGTGTGTGTGTGTGTGTGTGTGTGTGTGTGTGTGTGTGTGTGTGTGTGTGTGTGTGTGTGTGTGTGTGTGTGTGTGTGTGTGTCACAGCTGTCACTCTGTGACAGTCGTGGTTGAGGCTGCACAGCTCCTCGGTGCTGCCGTAAGCAGCCAGGAGATTTGAAATCAATTTTTTTTTCTTCCCATCAATGACACAGTCGTTATGTAACGTCCTGTGTAGTTTGACTCTGCTGAAAATGATGAAAATATCCCCTCACGTCACACCTGGAATGCAAGTTTTCTGGCACTCGTCAGTCTCTCACGCACACGTCTTTTTTCTGTCTTTCCCCCCTTAATGACGAGCAGACAAAACTTAGCACCCTGTGATGGTACTTGGAAGAAGTTCTACAGCCATTTTGAGTACTCAGCTGTGTCTGCCTTGCCTGTGTGTGTGCGTGTGTGTGCATGCAAGAGTGTGTCCTCACTTGCAGGTGCCTGAGTACAGATATATTTCCTCTCAAAAACCGCAAATTGCAGCCCACACAAACACGCACTAATTAACATCTAATCATTCACAGTAGCTCAAGGGGAAGTTTCCATTTTTTTGGGGAATGGAAACTAAGTTATCGTCTTGTTTCTTATTCTCTGGCGTTGACTCATTCGGGCAGTGATGAAACCAGAAGACACACCACACCACTTCCATTGTCTGAATGAATGGTGATGAAAGCCAAAATGTCCACAGGTGTTGTTTCACTGCATAAATACTAACCTTCCTGTTTAGCAATCATGTTTCCATTGTTGTTGGACTTCAGCCTTAAATGGGTGCCCTATTTAGTCAATATGTTTTTACACAACGTTCGTTATACTTTGTCTAAAAATCCTGCATTGCTATTGTTCTCCGCAAGCTTAAATATCTCCCTTACATTCTCTTAAAACAATTAAGTCTTTTAAAGAAACTGACAACTGTAGATATTTTTTGAGTGACTAACCAGCAATGATTAACCAACCGACAAGGAGACAGGACACACATGGTTTAAATACACTGGGGAGGTGCAGGTGATTGGACGCGGCAGGAAACAATCAGGAACATGGCGGAAAATCACAGAGGGTGAAGAAAACACACCTGGGCAGGAAGTGAGGAAAATAGAACAGGAAACAAACCCTCACTATAACAGTTTTCCAATATACGTGGAGCCTCAGCGCTGTG